ATAAAAGGTGGTGGCTCAGGTGGAGGGTTGTCCACCAGTGTGACTTGGCACGAGCTGAGCAGTTTCAGCAAAGTTTGTGAAACTTTAACTAATGCTCCATGAAGCAATATGCTATCAAAATACATCAAGTTATCATATGCAGAGGCCATAGGCATTGCAACAAGCTGTTGCTTCCTCCTTTTCAGAAGCAATCGCCTTTAGACATGGAGATGAGCAGAATAATATGAATAGTAATGAGTAATTCTGTATAGGTTATAGTGGTAACTTCTTGTATTTTAAAATATGCAGAGGTCGAAAAATTGTTAGTGATTCTTTGAGTGCTATGAAATGTGTATGGAAGAAGTGCTGGCTCCTGCCGCTGCCCTGGGACAGGTTCCTGGGAATCCCGTTAATTCCCTTCTCATTGCTGGGGTGGCAGAAGTGCAAAGACTAGGGCACAACACGGAGCCTTTTCCAGGGTTTTCACCTTGTTGAAGAGATGAAGAGAACACATTTCAGCTTTGCCTTTGCATGATATCCCCTCCTGTGCTTCTGCGGTTTGTTTTGGGAGGTCGCCTGCTCAGCTTTGGTGAGCATGTAGGTAGGAGACTTCTTTGGAAAAAAAGAAGATAGAAAAAAATCACGATCCGAGGGGCTGTGTTTCCTTTCTGCTGAAGCCATTGGCTTTTATGCTCTGTTCTCATTAGCTTGAAAGGTCGGCGGGCAGCTCCAGAGCCTGGGAACGGGAGCAGGTCCCGCTGGCGGGGTCCCGGCTCCCCATGTGCGGCATCTCCGGTGCCAGCGTCTGAGGTGGCAGCGCAGACCCATGGGGACTGCAGCGAAATAGGTGTCTCTGGAGCAAACTGCATGCCACTTGGGCCACGTTCTCTTTCCTGAAGACATCAACTAGAATAAAAGATTAATTTCATCTGTAGGTGTTTTTTTACCTTACGGAGACAGGTGGATTTTACTGTAAAACGATATATTGAAAAATCGGTATATTCACCACGTTATGTTCGATTCTTTTGCTATTTTGCATCCTTGCAGACCTAGTTTATCTGATGACACGTGATGTTTTTCTTTCAGGATTGAACTTTTGGGAGTTACTGTTCAACAATGTTTGCCAGTCTGGAATTAATTGGAGAGCTGTTGCGTGACATGAAAGACTGAAGTTGTAGAATTCATTTTGGTAGGTAAAAGTGTGATGCATATGGGTATCTCTTGTTCTTATGTGTTCTTGCTCTACCTGTGGACTAATAGGTTCTTGTCTTTAACTAGCTGGGCAGCAGTTAGGCTGCTTTCTTAGTGTTATCGATCTTTAATCCCAGAGTTTGAAACTGAATAAGTTTTAAATTACTGGAACGTGGGACTGGCTAGGATTTTTCTGAGGAATTTGTGCTACATGTCTAAGTTTATTTTTGAGTTTGTTTTTAGTGTGTGTGTATTTTTTTGTTTGTTTTGTTTTTGCTTTTACATTCAATCTAGTTATGTAGCATGATGATATTTTGATGATATTTAGGTTTTATAGCTAGTGCATTTAACAAGTAGAATTTCTTTAAATTGGGTATTTAAAGAAAACGTCTTCAGCGGTACTGTGACAATGACAAACTCAACCACCCCCATCCTAAAAAACCTTTACGGATACCTTTAACCATTCTGTTACTGGCACCTAAAAGGGAGGAAGGAAGCATGTTCCCAGTCATCTTATGCAAAATATGCTTCTTCTTTTCCAGATTTATTCCTTTTAAATTGATTGAGCTGCGGCAGGGTGGAGGGATTGCTCTGTATTTGCTCTGAGGGGGTGTATGTGCTGTTGTGGTGTCAGAGGTGAAAATGTTTATTCCCCATTTACAGACATGGAGGTAGTGCTTGTAAATCAGTGACCTGTGTCTCAGAAGGCCTCGCAGGAGCGCGTGGGCCAAGCCGGGCTGTAACTTCCTCGCCTTCCTTAGCGCAGCAGTGGGAAGGCAGCAACACAGGACAGCTCCACGTTCTGGTTGACAGACAAATTGCCGTGGCCCAAACTGCCATGACCTCAAGTTTGGGTCAGTTGAGCTGATTTCGGGATGAAAACAGCAAGATATTGTCACTGTTTTTTGGTGGTGTTTTGTTTTTCCCTCTCTGGAGACCCCCCGATGCTGCCTCCTGGCTTTCCCAGGTCCGCCTGCTCCATCGCGCTATCACTGACTCTCTTTTTCGGTTTGGACACTTCAGTGTTTGTGATTTTTCCCCCAGCCCATCTTGCAGGAGTGTAGCTCACTTTTACTCCTTTGGTAGATAACCAACATTTTGGTTATCAGTGCCTTATCTAGCTTCTTGTCTCCAGCTCTGTTACTTAAGTTGCACAGTTCTAATAATTAGGCTGCATTAAATGAAGCCAACTTTCTCATAAATAGGCGTAACGTGTTTTTTGTGCTGCTATGGCCTGGCCCAGACTGGCTGTTCCTAAGTGGCTGCTGTTTTATAGCATTGGGCTTGCTGTCCATCTCCAGAAACAGTTGTGTAGTAGGGAATAGTAAGTTGGAAGCCGCATTTATTCTTTGAGCAGAAGAGACAGAACTGCGTGGTTTAATTCAAGGATGATTCCTGCTCATCAAAGAGACTGTCGTAGCCTGCTGGAAAATAATCAAGTCCATAGGAATTATCGCGTGCCCAAAGTTTGACGTGTGTGTTTAGGCAGAAAGCCTCCCGTCTCTCTGTAGAGGAGCGTTGCGTGGAGTCCCTGCGGATCACGGTCCTCTGCCAGCTCCTGATTTATGGATGTCAACCTTGTAACCAGGTGATTACAGAATTTGTTAGTGCGGAGGATGCAGCTGGGATTCATTTGGTTCTGCAAGGGGAGTTGAGCTGCGCTCTGTCTGCAGAGGATAACTTGGCAAGTGATTCCTTCCGGGGGTCAGAGCCGAGACAAATCGGGGCCGAATGCAGGAATGTGACTGAGAGGGAGGGAAGGGAGATGGGTATCAGAAACATCCTGGAGGAGCATAATGCCTCTGGGAGAAACAAGGAGGATTCCACTTTTATTTTTATATATTTCGTAATTCCGAGAATGTTTTGAAAGGTTTGTGCTTTTGCAAAGGAGAGAGCTTTTTAGTGCATGGTAGGAATTGTCGGAAAATCCCCATGGTTCCTGATGGAAACGAAACACTCTCTTCCCTTCCAAATAATTGTGCTTTTTCAATCTTCATCATCTGTGTACTGAACCGCGATTTCTTTCTGTGAAAATCTCATGCACAATTTTTAGATAAAGTGTTTTGTGTGTAACTTTTCTCAGAATCCATCATCGTGTTTCACAGGCTGCTGGCGCATTCAATGCACAGAGTGGCTGTGCTCTAAGGAGATTATTTGTATAGAGAGAATTAGCTCATGGTTAGGATAAGCAGGTCACCCACGGCCCAATAACTTCTATGTGAAAATCAATTCCATCAGCTTTTCCCAGGAAGTCATTAATGGTCTTTGGAGCATTTTTGCCTCCTTTCTCTGGCATGACCTTGTGGCGCAGACTTAACTTCATTTTAAACCTGAGCTCTCAATTAAAATGTACGAGACAGGAGTCCTGGTGCTGCACAGGATGAAGAGAGTGGCTATATGTAAAATAGATGAGGTGGCATTAATGAGTAAGGAACTATCTACGGTGGTGTAGGGTTGCAAACGGAGGGAAAAAGTCCAATTTTGTAAAACTGCTCTGCAGAAAGTGTGTGCATAGAGACGGGATGTAGAGCTGGGGCTGCCCTGTGCCTTCCGAATGCTTGTTCCTTCCCTTGTCATATTGTACCTGCAGCAAAGCTAAGCGAGTATGGGAATGGCACAGACCCGAACCTAAGCTTTTCTCATGTACTTAGCATTAAAAAAACATTTTTTTTTTCTTGCTACTGTCTTGCAGTAGCAAGAAAACTGCAATTTGTCTTTAATCTCTGACTTGTGGTTTTAATTTGTGGTGGGAACTTGAACCTCTGCCAGAAAAACAGCCTGGATCCCCTGCTGGGGTATGTCATCCTCGGCGGAAAGGTTTGGTGGATCGCTCGGAATACCGTGACAGCTTCAGGTTTAGGAGAGCCTGAGAATTCCACGTGTTCAAGTGATTTGGTTGTGTCAGGGGTGGTCAGCTCTGCCTCCTGCTGTAGCTGGTTTTGGTTCTTTCACTGATGCTTAGAAAGCACGTGCCGTGGAAGACGAAGCTGTCACCATCGTGAAACTTGTCCGCTCCTCTTGTAGCAGCTTGTGCTGAAGTCAAAAATGTGGAGCTTGGCCAAATGTGGGTATTGTTCAATGCAGATACAGGGCTAAGTTTTATCTTAGGTTGTTCTTCTATACAGATAACATCTTAAATAACTCTCATGATGTTGACTGAAATTATTGCAAGGTCTGGAAACTTCGTGAAGTAAAAACCACCTAGTGCATGACTTCATTTGCCGAATTCATTCATATCTAAACACAGCAGCAGTGTATGGAGTGGGTGGTTGTAGGCATAGGCATTTGTAGGGGAGACAAATTTCATGTTGTAATATGTTTAAGCAGCTGAAAACACCTAGTTTTTTACAAATGCAGTATGCACAGAGAAGGCATAGAAAGCAAAGAAGAATACCGATGATTTCCTTGGATGTGAGTTCTTGTCAACACTAACTTTTCCTTAGCAGGAGTGGGTTGTGGCTTTCCTACAGCTCTTCTAGGTAAAGAAGTGTCTGTAACACCTCTAGGCCCTAAAATGAAACTGGGAGGAGTTCCCTCTATCTTCCTGTAATTAAAACTTTGCTGTAAAGTTTACAGTCTTGGCAGCCGGGCGTTGTAGACTGCCTCCTGGGTGCCTGATTGTGCTGGCTTTGATACGGAGGTGAGTGTAACCCATCCTTCTTCTCTCCCTCCCTCTCCCTTGTAAACAGGTATCTTTTAGTCAACTGGAAACTTCAACTTCTTTGAACTGTGCATAGGAAGATTGTGTCAGGAAGCAGCTTTTGTTCTAGTGGACCAACCGCTTGGAGACTGCAATGGCTACAGTTTACACCACCACCCTGTTTGTCTCTCGGACCCTGGTATTGGGTCATCTGGTAGGTTTTTGACAATAATAATGGCTTGACCTCAGATGTAGTTGTCAAGGTATTTGTATGCTGCATTTATGATTTTTTTTTTTCCTTAAAAGCATCTTCTCAATATCTGACTGGCTTGCATTGTTGGAAACAATGGTTTTGGATGATCTATGTACCTTAAAAGATACATGTACCTCCTTGTACTCCTCAACGATGGAAGATTTGGAGGTGGATTTTGATTCGGGACTGGAGGAAGATAAACTGAAGCAGGAGACTGCTTCTGAAGACTCCACCATCTTCGTAGCCTTTAAAGGAGATATGGGGGATAGAGACTTTGAGCAGAAACTCAGTGTCATACTGGAGAACGTGCCTGGCCTTTTACACATGGGTAACATACTTTTTTGTCATTTTTCAGCTGTCCTCAAAATATCTAATTATGTGCTAAGGGGTTTTGTTTGGGTTATTCTTGTGGAATTCTTGCTGAATCAGGACCTGTCCTTCTAGGAGGCTTATATTATCATTTAAAACTATGATTTCATTACTGAGTTGGTTTATTCCTATTGGATTCCTATTTTGCTTTTGTTCTCTTCCATTTCCGTCCATCATACACTCCTCTGTTGTACAAAGCTAAAGCCAGGCTTGCCCAAACAGGCAGAGTTTTGTGCCACCTGCTTCCCCTCGTGCTCGGAGCCCCTCTGTGCTCCAGCTGTGCCTGGATTTGCCATGAATCCCCTGGCCAGGGCAGGACGTTGCAGCCCCGGCCGCGGTGCTCACTTGGCCTCTGAGGTTTGTGTCTGCTCGCGCCGTTGTGTCTGCCCAAAGCTAGAGACAGGTACCTCCTGCTAGTGAGCGATAACAGCATTTGGGGTCAGTGACACCTTTTATAAACACATCTGTCTATGGAAGAGAGTATCAGCACCCTTGTAACAGGGGCTCGTCAGGATTAGCTGTAGCATTTTGGGTTTGTAGCCTTGCTTAGGTGAGTACAACCTTGCTCAATACACGGCAGCTGTTTGGCGCAGGGCGCAGTTTTGTGGGGGTTTGGGCCTGTGTGTTGGGATCAGCGATGTGTTCCCTCCCCACTCCAGCCTCCCTAGCACTGCTGCTCATCTCTGCTTGGATGATGGATGCAGGATAATGAACTGGCAGGTTCATTAGGGTAATATCTTGCCGTTAGTGCAGTTTGCTACAGAAGCAAGTGACCCAGTAAGGCACAGCAACCACAAGTGCAGTGGGCAGAGGGGTCACAGCAGCCAGATCAGCATCCGGCTTGGCTATAACATGTCACGTAATTGCAGGCTGAAAATGCCTGTACCTGCTGATAGTCTCTGCTGTTTGTGAAGCAAGCAGTTCCCAAGACCTGCAGTCTGCCCTACCAACAAATTGCTCTTCTATTTCATGTTTTTACTGTGAAATCACAGAGTGCAGTGAAGCATCAATGCTGCAGGCAGGTAATCTTTGTGTTTAAAGAAAGCCAATTCTTTCTGGATTTGGATTTTAAAACGTTTATTGCGTTGTTTCACATCCAATACTGGAAAGAACCTTTTCATTTCAGAAAGAGATCTATGACTCTTCCATAAGCAAATCAAATTCCTAGATCACTTTGTTCTTTTCTTTCCATTTTGTCTAAATTTAGTTGTATCTGGCTTCAGTTGTTGGGGTGTTTGCCATTATCTCTCAGGGGAGCTTAAAAAAAAAAAAAAAAAAGCTAGGATAAGACAAAAACCCTGAAGAAATCTAGCTGCCTTGAGTTGTATGTTATAACTGCTTGCCAGAACACATGAAACTAGCCTAGCTGTGATGTCAAAGGCTGCGCAGCGCCGCTGCGGTCAAGCAGCGTGCTGCTTGCGTGGGAGCGCGTCCAGCCCACGTCTGTGGGGAGGCATCTGCACACGGCCTGTTACAAACATTAATGGTAGCGTTCATGGATCGTTCAAACCCCAGCCGAGAAAGCACAAAAGAAAATCTTAATGCTGTATTAGTTTGAAAATGATCAACGGGACAAGTTAGTTAAACTAATTTGGAGCAAAATGGGATATTCCGAATGTAGGGTTGTAATGTACAGTTGTATTGGGGAGATCTAAAACCATCTTGGAAGGCACAAGAAGAAAAACTCTGCTGCTGATATCCAGAAATACCAAAATTGGTGATACCATTTTTGGATATTAAAAATTGGTCCATTAATAAGATTAAATATAGGGCCATTGAAAGATGCAAAGACTCAATTCTTCGTATCCAGATACGAGAAGATTTCAAATTAGTCCTGTCACCTTTCCAGCCAAAGACTGTTCATAGACAGAAAGAGAAAACGTTTAACCCTGCTCCCAGTGTAGCTGCAGGGCCCCCCTGTGTCAGGAAAGTACAAGAGATTCCTGGAGGGAATTGCTGCTCTTTGATGTGACGCTGTTCAGAAGCAAGTAATAAATGAGCTTAATTGGTCCAGTGCTGTGGAAGAGGTGGGCAAGTAGAGTTTGGGCCCAGGTATGTTTATTCAAAAAGCTAAACTGCATGTTTTTAAACTGGTATTAGTGATTTTATTTAAAATCATTCTTAACTGCATTTCACAGCAGTATTTTGGTTAGGTGCCAATTCAGACAGTTACACAGCTGATGTACCAAGAGACACTCGTGTCGCATAAGCTTTCGAGGGCCTTCAGCGAAATGGTGAACACACCTGTGAGAAAAAAAAATCTAAGCAATAGGCTCGGGACTGGCCTTCTACAAAAAGATGGTTTCACAAGTATCTTGCAGAGAGAGTTCAAGAAGGAGGGTTTCATTCCTGTGGTTTTTTTTCCCCCATATATCTAACAAATTTATGAAATTTGCTTTATTAGGTTTTCGTGTATCTTTTCGAAGTAGCTTATCCACAAAGTATTCCAATTCTGAGTAACCTGATCAAGTGATTTGTTTTGGCTGTGGAATATTGGCTATCTGTTTGGAAGCTCTTCTGTTGCTAATTTTTGAGAAATAACTGAAGTGTCTTGGCTGCACGTCCGTGCTGGAGAACTCTTCTGTCCCCAAGATTAACCCTTGATATTTTCAAAGCCAAATAACTGCCTCATTCTTTTCTTTTGTGCTTTTTTTACCCAAGTTATCTCGTTGATACTGATTTGAATAATGACCTTGCAGTGACTTTGGCTCTTTTTCTTTTAAGAATCCAGCAAGTTGAAACTGCAGAAGATAGAGCCTTGGAACAGCGTTCGCGTGACGTTTAATATACCCCGGGAAGCTGCAGAGCGGCTGCGCATTTTGGCTCAGAACAATAACCAACAGCTTCGAGACCTGGGAATCCTCTCTGTTCAGATTGAAGGTATTTTGCACCTCGTTTCTTTGTAAAGATACTAAAGTTATTCTGGGTGTGCTGAAATTTAAGTATAGACAATAAGTGATTTTGTGTACTTGGTTGACGTTGCAAAGCTTCTAGCAGTAATTTGGGGAGTGATTTTAATGAAAAGGTAAGTCAAAGCAGTGGTTTTATTCTTTCAAGATATATGTTGTGATTTAAAAATGACGAAAAATTCCCTGATCGTGAAGAAACTTGGTGAGGTTTTTCTGAGTGTCATTGGGAAATGTACCTTAAGGTTTTTTTTTTGGTTGGTTTTGTTTTTTCTCCCCAATTGTTTGATATGAGATGATTTTCCTCAAAGCAAATTCTCTGTGAACTTCACAGTTAACGTAGAACCCTGGAAAATTCTACAAGTTGATGCCTGAGGTCCTGTAATTCTTGTAACGATGTTTGCTTTTCTTACCTTCTCTGGTACAGTTTTAAGGGTGTTATGATGCATAACTGTATTTCTCTTCTAAATATATTTTCTGGGTAACATTTGGCCTTCCTTTCTTTATACCTTTTAAAATGTACTTTTGCGAATGTCTCTGTTCTCCTTTCCTGAATATCATTCCGTTCTGCAAATTGTGTATTTCCTTTAGGGGAAGGTGCTATCAATTTAGCTTTAGCTCAGAACAGAAGTCAAGATGTCCGGATCAACGGGCCCCTCGGAGCAAACAATTCCATCCGGATGGAAACGGGATTCCCCTTGCAGGGGGGCCAAGGTAAGTTCCTTTTTCTTTTTTTTTTTTTTTTTAGTTATTTATCTTTATGCACTTCATAACCTGTAATTAAGCTTAATCATATAACTTAACTGCTTAATATATCCTTTGTTAGCAGAGGTATAATTGTCATTTTAATTCATCTGTGTCCTTGCTTCTGTGCAGTCAAACCATGTCCCGTATCATGTAAAGTAAATGGCTGGCTGCGTATCTTCTTGCCAACAGTTGAATCATATCTGTATATACACAAACACCTCTCTATATGTGTGTGTGTGTGTTTTTTTTTTTAAATAAAGACTGTAAAACTCTCATGAACATACTAAGGTGAATTTGCTTTGAAATCTCAACAAGTTATCACAGCACCATTTTGTATTTGGGCATCTCTATGAAAATGAGCATAAGCCTTTACATAGTGTACATATAAGGGATTTCAAATAAATACCTTATTAATTTGGGGAAGGAGAGGGCACTGTCATTGCTGTTGGTCTCCTGTTTTCAGTAAACCTTTGAGGTCAGATGGAGATCTGATTGTGCACTTTTTGAATATAGAGAACACTGCATTTATACCCATGATACGTGTGTGTGTGTATGTGTATATATATTTATTTTTAATTACAGAAGTCTTTAGATTTATGAAGATCTTAAAGAAAACCATTTTATTTTCATAGATGAATCATAAGGCAAAACAAACTACATGGTATCTTAATATATAGAATTTGATGCAATTAGAAAACCAGAAGCCTTTTTGACAAAATTATTTAAGATACATGTGTGGCTGTTATTAGGGATAAGTGAGAAGATCACTTTACCTCTTTAGAACCAAAACGTGGTTAAACAGGTTGATCGACCAAGAATGTGAAATGTTTAAGGAAACTTTTTCTTCGAAAATAGCTGCTCTACCCTTCTGTGTGGTGATCATTTCCTGCCAATTTTCCAACATATTAAAATGTTCTAAAAAATAGCATTCCAAAAATAGTACAAATGAAACAAGGAAATTTTTTCACCTCCCTCAGATTTTGCAGATCCTTAGTACATGTAAATTTGATACAAACTCGTCACTTGAAGACTTCAGAGACAAGTCAGAGATGGGATTAAAGCCTCGAAGAATTACGTGGAGGTGGTTTGTCCTTCCGTAGCCTTTTAGAGGAGGGTCTCCGACTGTAGTGGGTTTTTAAGAATGGCAGATTTGAATTCTCACTCCTACCTCTTCCTGGGATGTTGCAGGTTTTGGAAAGTGGAGCAGCCTCCAATCTCTGATAGTCACTGATGACTGATGCCTTGTGAAGGGAAATATGTTAAGCTAGCATGTTAAATTAAGAAAATTTGCCCCAAAGGAAATGTGTATCAAAGTTTTTAGGCAGAGGTCTGTGTTTTGGAGGAACAGTTCTTAAAGTCTGAAGAGATGTTTTATTAACATATACAATATTTTTTGCAACTTTTACGTAGAAAAGGGATAGAACTAACATTTGTTGTTGTTGTTCCCTTTTTTTTAGGTTTAATAAGAATGAGCAATGCAGCAGTAATGATGTCCCAAAGTGGAAATGTGCCCTCCTCTATGGTGGCAAGTGGTGCTAGTACTGAGCTGCAGCCAAGAACACCTCGACCTTCCTCACAGCCAGGTAGTAAAATTTAGTTATAGAATTTACCTCAATATATTCTCAAGTTATTTTATTTTCTCAGCTGACAGGCTCGAAACTATACTCATAAGTGAACTCTGAAAGTGGTCTGGAACATTTTGGAAAGCTTTGTAATGGCTAAAAAGAGTTGCTTAAGCTTTGGGTTTTTTTTGTTTTATTTGTGTGGGATTTTTTCTTTTTTGCCCTTTTTTTTTTTTCTTTGACCAACAATAATTGTATAATTACAACAATAATAGAGTTAATACTGTACAGTAACGTACCCTCATCTTGGTCATCTGCAATAACACCGTTTGTGCTGTTGATTCATAGCCTCATTTCCCAAAAGGACAAGTTGTGGCCGTGTGGGTGTGTCTGTTGTCCTAGGTGTCATTTGGAGCAGGCACTTGGTTGGAGGAGGACAAGCACATGGAAAGTCTGCCAGGAAAAGTCTGGGTGTGTTTGATCCTGCTTTTAGGCTGTCACCTTCTTTAGGTCCCTTCCAGCCCTGTTTTCTGTGATTCTGTGTTAGGATGTTGCTGCTGTCCCCTAAATAAGTCGCCAGGTTATTCAAGTATGTCTCTTTGCTTGTTATTTTTGTATTTCTTTGGTTTCAGATGCTTTCAGCAGTGGCAGTACCTTTTTGCAGAACTGTATTGTCACTGGGGCTTCATAGTATCATACAGCCCCTTGAGGAACTGTGTTCTACTGCAGTGAACTTGCACAGTGAATGATTGAGCTTTACATTTAGATCAAGTTAAGAAAAGGGTTGCTTGAATGAGGCAGGTGTCTTCAGGAGAAAAGAAATGCAGCAGATTGAGCTTTTCAGGAGGAGTAAGTAGAACAGGTAGTTAAGGGTTGGGGGGTGGGTGAGTATGTTTGGGTGTTCCAGCTCTACCAGTGCAAGTTGTTTGCAGTTGAGACTTTTTAAAGTGAGGGATTGTGATTCGTCCCTTGATAAAACAGTGGCAATGCCCTCCCACTTCTTTAACACCCTGCAACATCTGTTGACGCAAAGCACAACTCCAGCTCATGATGCTGTCTTAATTCCTCACTGTGCCATTAGGTAAGTGGGAGGGACACTAGCCCTAAACTGAGTGTGCAGAAGGTTTATGTTTGTGGAAACGAGTGCTTTGAAGTTATTGAGCTCTGCTGTGAGGTTACACACTCCTGTATCCCAGTTTCCCAGGGTGCCCAGAAGTTCTGTGCGTCTCTTCAGAGCGTTGCCTGTCCGATATTCACTCCAGTGCTCGTTCCTGCAATGTATTTTTGTTTGGCCTCAACGTCGGCAGAGAGAGCAAATGCAAGCGAGCAGTTTGCCCTCTCCTGTCTTCTAGTGGTTTTTGTCTGCAGTAGGTTACTTATTTCTTTCACTCTTTTTTGCTATTTTAATAGATGCAATGGACCCACTCTTATCTGGGCTAAATATCCAGCAGCAAAATCATCCGTCTGGATCTTTAGCTCCGCAGCTCCATTCAATGCAGTCAGTTCCTGTAAACAGGCAGATGAACTCGGCCAACTTTCAGCAGCTCCAGCAGCAGCCACAGTTGCAGACACGTCCTCCCCAGCCACATCAGCAGCCACAGCAGGGTATTCGACCTCCCTTCACTTCACCAGCACAGGTTCCAGTTCCCCCGGGCTGGAACCAGCTTCCTTCTGGAGCACTTCAGCCTCCTCCAACCCAGGGAGCATTGGGTACACTGACAGTAAACCAGGGCTGGAAAAAGGCCCCGTTACCTGGACAAATGCAGCAGCAACTTCAAGCAAGACCATCTTTAGCAACAGTGCAAACTCCTACCCACCCTCCACCTCCATACCCCTTTGGAAGCCAGCAAGCTTCCCAGGCTCACTCAAATTTTCCCCAAATGAGCAATCCTGGCCAATTCACTGCTCCTCAAATGAAAACACTTCAGGGAGGGCCCTCCCGGGTTCCTACGCCACTACAGCAACCCCACCTGACCAACAAGTCTCCTGCTTCCTCTCCCTCCTCCTTCCAGCAGGGATCTCCTGCATCATCTCCAACCGTTAACCAGGCACAGCAGCAGCTGGGACCAAGGCCTCCCCAGGGTAGCACCCTTCCCCAGGGATTTCAACAGCCTGTCAGTTCTCCTAGCCGTAATCCTATGGTACAGCAGGGGAATGTGCCCCCCAACTTCATGGTGATGCAGCAGCAAAACCAGGGTCCACAAGGTTTACACCCTGGCTTAGGAGGTAAGAAGTGCTCAGATCTTCTGTTGTTTAAAAGGGGGAAAAAAAAAGAAGCTGGAGGTCATTTTACTGTTGCTTTTGAAAAGATCCTTTAAAACCGGAATAAATATGAACTCTGTGTATGAAGTAGGTATGGTAAATGAACAGCAGTATTGCTTCAGTTCTTCCAGCTAGGTCTGTTCTGCATATTACCCACAGGAGAAGTCTTGGCGACTCAGAACTTGCTGTATGCAGGTCCTGGCTGAATCCCAGTCATCCTGACTCTTCTCCAACTGCCTTTCAGTTTGGGATGTTCTGGGATGGGTATTTTTTTTTTTTTTTCTTTTTTTGTTTCTGTTTTTCCTTTTTGTCTTCTGAGTGAGAGAAGTAAGAACACATATTTTTCCTTGTCTCTTCAAATTCCTCTGTCACCACTTAGATTCATCACGTTTCTACTACAGAAGCGAGGCATAATTTTGTGTCCTCCCTCTTCATTTGTGGGTGTCTCATCTTGTCATCACTTTCTTCCTGTATAAAAGGAAAGAGCTATTACTGCCATGCTATTGTATTCCCTGCTCTACTGGGAAGAGATGAAGGAATGTCTTAATTTACCCCCTTAGTTGTCATTTTTTAGTTTTCTCCTTGGACCTCTGCATCCCCGTCTTTGCCTCACTGCTCCCCAAAGGCTTCCCTAGCGATGAAGTGACTTCATTTGTCAATCCCAAGCTCTCTCCTGTGTCTTCTTTCCTTAAAGGTCTTATTAGTTTTGTGCAACGTTTGTGACACTCTTCTCTATTAATTACTTTATCTCTCTCTTCAGTGGCTGCTCTGAGTCCCGTGTTGAGGCTCTTGCTTAATCCTTTAAAGCCTTTATTTCCAAAACCTTTTCCTTGTCTACTTGTAGAATCTGAGCCGTGCTTTTTTCCACCTGTGCGCACAGCTCCACGTGTCTCATGCCCTGTATTCTCCTGTTGTTGTGGAACTGTAACCCCTCTCGGAAGGGGAGGAGTGGCACTGCCCTGCTCCGCGTCCCCCGTGGCACCGTGCATGTCCTTTCCCGCCCCGACACGAATGTCCCCAGCTCCAGGGTTCTCGTTCCCGCCTCTCCTTAGGTTTAGCCCGCACCTTATAGTTGCTGTATCTTCTCTTGACTCCATCTCTAAAGATTAATCTCTTATTTATCACATTTCCTTCCAGCTTTCCCTCACCAGCTCCGTGACCATGCTCTGTAATCATTTTTCCCTAGGTATCCTAAATAGAGCTTTCACTCGCTCCTTGTAAACCTTTTTGATGTAAACCTACTACAAACAAAATACTACTTTTGGTTCCCCTACCTCCAGAGTTGTGACTTTTTAAAGTAGTTAACAAGTTAACAATATGTGGGTCACAAACCACCAACCTGGGTCATTAGGTAGACCTCACTGCTCAGATCTGTAACCCTTCTGTAACCCGTGTCCTGAACTGATTTAAAAGGACAAGGCTCTGTTGATTTCAGCAAAGCTATCTTGACTTTCACCTGCTGAGGTTTTTGTCTGACTTTTGTCCATGCTCAATCCCTGCTTCATTTGGTACCTTAATTGAGTTGTAATTTGGGATTTGGGGGGTTTTAAGCCATCCTGCATTTCAAAGATTTGATATAAGTGGATACATTTGCTTCCCATTTCACCACATAATTTAGCAAATAGAAATTTGTGTTAAAGTTGGAATAGGCCACGTTGATATTTCTCTCAGGTCAAGTATTCCTGTGTGCAGGACTTTCCCTAAAAGTTTAGCAGGAGCAAAGCTACAGACCTGTGACCTGATGTTTGAAAATGTATCCGTTCAAAATTTGCAGATGAATGTTATAAACTTGTTTGTCTTGAAATACTAATTGTAGACCTAAAACCCCATTAATTAACAGAAGCAATGCAGTTAATTGTTCAAGAAAGCTGTAACTCGAAGGGACTAAGGCCAAATTATGGTGCTGGTAAATAGATCAGAAAAATAAAGGAAGGCAAGACTCCTCCTAGGTGTGTGACCCTACCTGTGGAGCTTGTTGGTGGGTCAAAAGAAGGGGAATCTGTTAAAGCAGTTTATGCTGCTTCCCTCGGTGGTGGGTAGAAGCACGGAGAAACTTGGGCTCTTCGTCCTGGTGCAGCAGGACACGTCATTTTGCTGTGTTCAAGCATGGGCATTGTGCCAGCTGCAGGCCCGGCACAGCTGCTTGCCCTTGGGATAGGGATAGCAGGGTTAATTGAACAAGTTTCTGATTAGCAACAACCATTCTGGGCTCTTTGGTAGCAGAACACCATGCTCTTACAACCTGCAGATTATGTACTTGTAATCTGTCTCTGCATAATAAACTCACTGATTCCCATGGCAGAGAGAACACGTAGAATCAAGCTTCCCTGCAAGTAAATCTCTTAGCAAGGAGGCCCTAAATTTGTGCATGGGGTGGTATTTTTTTCATGATGAAAGACTAATGTGAAAAAAAATCATTAACTTCATTCCACGGATGGTGAAAACCTAAGAATTAGCATAGTTAAATACACTTCTGCTCATGTCAGTGACTAGAGATAGAAGAAAGTAGTGATGTTACATTCTGTTGGGGTTTAAGAAGTTATTTTATGTGCGTGTGTGTGTGTGTACAGCAAAGTGGAGCAAAGAAGCACTTACCAGCAGGTACCTTAATGTGCATTAAGGTGATGGCCCTTCTTGGGAATTCTCCACCGTGACAGAAATGCCCGAGGTTTGCGTTTGAACACGTGGAGCAGGTTGGAAGCCTGGCCAGGGCGGGATGCAATGGAGAACGGGGAGACAGCTGCTTTGCTCCGATTTCCAGCTTCTTAAGAAAAATGAAACACAGGCCTCTCCCCGCCTGCACGGACGCGTTCCGGCCGCGCGCTGCGTGGTCAGCCTCTGAGCAGAATAATGGCGTGAACTGGTGATAGTAGCTTGTTAGCCAGATTCATTGCATAAATAGGAACTAGAAATTCTGTCTCAAATGATGTTCATATTTTGGGGAAAACCCACAGTTGTGCCTGTGACCTGCTCTGCTAATGTGACAGTACAGCTAAAATGCATTAGTCCTCTTTTAATGCTCCTTTTTTTTTATTTTTCCTTCTCCTCTGCCTTTTTCTTTTTTTAGAACTTGCTGCAGAGCCAGGTGCCTTCCACAGCGCCGGGAACGCCGGGGAGCAGCGGGGCCCTGCAGCTGCCGGGCAGCCAGAACGTGCAGCACGCAGGTCTGTTCCCAACCCGCTGTTCCGCGCTTGGGGAAGGCTCTGCTTTTACTTGTGTAACACAAGAACCAAAATATCACCTGCTTTCCAGTAAGGGGCAGCTTCAGCTACCTGTGGTGCTGCAGAGGTACATTTTGGGTGTCATTTAATGAGGAAAAGAAAAGCAGGAGAAATCAGCTTTGGTATTGCTTGGCACAGTGATACCAGGATCCAGAAAGATCTGCTCAGAAATTCAATACACGTGGCATTGAAATTTGGAGGTTAGGAGTAATATAGGTGCAATGCTCTTGTTTTGGAAATATTCTAAACTGCATAGATTATGATCAAGTTCTGTGAGGTATTCTGCATTGAGGTACACCTGTGAGTGATGGTCAAAATCCTTATTTTGGGGATTGCCATTCTGATGCTCTATCTTGACCACGAACATTTACCTGTAGCATGAAATATGCAGCACAAAGTGTGAGGGTATCGTGTGTCCCAGGTCATTGGTTTAAAAAAAAAAATTTAAATTCGGGGTATTTGCTCAACATCAAGCTCCAGCTAATTTGTATCTTGTCATCTTTTTAAGGTGGCCAAGGTTCTGGACCTCCTCAAAATCAGATGCAGGCACCACATGGCCCACCAAATATGATGCAGACCAATCTAATGGGACTTCATGGAAATATGAACAACCAGCAAGCGGGTGCTAGTGGGGTGCCCCAAGTTAACATGGGCAATATGCAGGGACAGCCTCAGCAAGGACCACAGTCTCAACTGATGGGAATGCATCAGCAAATTGTGTCCTCCCAAGGACAGATGGTGAACATTCAGGCTCAGGGATCATTGAACCCCCAAAACCAGATGATCCTTTCTCGAACTCAACTAATGCCGCAAGGCCAAATGATGGTCACACCACCAAACCAAAATCTTGGTCCTTCCCCTCAAAGAATGACCCCACCCAAGCAGATGATGCCCCAGCAGGGGCAGCAGATGATGTCTACGCACAATCAGATGATGGGACCGCAAGGCCAGGTCTTGTTGCAGCAAAACTCAATGATGGAACAGATGATGACCACTCAGATGCCAGGAAATAAACAGCCTTTTAGCACTCAAAACCAGTCCAATGTTATGACGGGGCCAGCTCAACTGATGAGAGGACCAACGCCAAACCTGCAGGGAAACATGGTGCAGTTCACCGGGCAGATGATGGCGCAGCAGGGCCCTGTCAATGGCAATCCTTCCCAGGTCATGGGCATTCAAGGGCAAGTCCTAAGACCTACTGGACCTGGCCCCCACATATCTCAGCAGCTTGGGGACACTACGACTACGACAAGTAACGATGTGAACCTGACACAGATGTTACCCGATGTTCCTGTGCAGCAGCCAAGCATGGTGCCTTCCCACATGCAGGCCATGCAAGGGAACAGCAGCGCGTCAGGGAGTCACTTCTCGGGACACGGGCTGCCTTTCAACACCCCGTTTAGCGGAACTCCCAATGGGAATCAGATTTCCTGCGGGCAGAACCCTGCTTTTCCTGTCAATAAAGACGTCACTCTCACAAGCCCGCTCTTGGTTAACCTGCTGCAGAGCGATATATCTGCAGGGCACTTCGGCGTGAACAACAAGCAGAATAACCAGAATGCCAATAAGCCCAAGAAGAAGAAGCCTCCAAGGAAGAAGAAAAATAATCAACAGTTAGAACAAACCAAGTAGGACTAATATTACCTTGTTTGTATAAGGGGTGGGCACGGGAAAGTCCCACAGGCCGCCTATCATTTTGTCAGTAGCATGTTGGGGAGAAAGAACCTCTAGTATTTCATATTCTAACAGGATATTTTTATTTTTTGAGTTAAATGATAACCCAGTGGCAAGTCTGGCATTTGAAAGTTCATTTAGGATAAAGAAAAACTTGTGAACGTTCTTATTCAGTTACATAATTTAAGTTAAAGCAGCATTTGGTGAGTAAAGGAAGTGTAGAAGTGGTTCCAAAATACCAATGCGAGCATAGCCCTGACGAGGCAGCCCGGGAGCCACAAAGAGGCGTTGGGCAGCACTGCCTGAAGAATTACAAGTCTCTGCAAAATATATGCAGGACAAATGTTTGAGAGGGATGGGAGATAGTGTTATGTATTTCTGCCTGAAATTGTTTTGGTTTATTTTAATTTATCATAGTTGAACTTGCAGATAGGAGTGGAAGGGAGGGAAAAATCTTGATATCCTCTGGTTATGCAGATACCAAGGTCAAGGAGCCGAGGAGATGAAACCTGGGAGAGGTTAGAAGAGAAAGAAAAAATCCCTTCAGGGGAAGAGACATATGGGAAATATTGAGAGGAAAAGAAGAAAAGTTTCCAGTCTGACCCAGGGCAAAGCGTGTGGTGGTTTGGTGCACTGCCCCAGTGTGGCCTTTCTGCACAATATGGAGTGCTTCAGGAGGCTGCAACTGATTTTTCTCAGGGGCATCTGAGTTCTGAACTCGAAGACCTTGCTTGGTCTATAGCAAAGGATCCTTTGGGGTTCCAACCACCACTAATTGGCTTGACTTTGGCCGCTCGTATAAAACACCTGCGTCGTGTCGCTTGCACCTTAAAGGTGAGGAAAGGCAGCCCAGGAAAGCAAAGCAAAGCGTGCTGATGCCAGAGGCCTTGAAAAGAGCTTTGCAAGTGCCTGCTCTGTGACTGGGCCTATAGGTCACAGTATGGCCCATCAGCTCAGCCCTGCTGCAAAATGGGCTTCAGTAGTCCTGCTTACAGGAGAGGCTTCATTTTGGCATTCTGCAAATGCCAAGTGCTTGGCCTTTGCAGTCCAAGTGTTCTTTTAAGCTTTGCTCTCTGCGAGGTGTATTTGTGCAGTGCTGCCAATGCCTCCTTGTCTCCAGGTCTCCACCTGAGAAGCCACCGTTGCAGCAGCTCTGCAAGAGTGGCTTGTGGCAAAGCGCCCCGGCAAGGCAGCGTAGCACAGTGCTAGAACTTGGCCTTTTTGCTCTCAGCGTACCAGCACAATTCTTTAAAGAGCCTCCAATAACTGCAAGTGGGTGTTTTTCCATTTGTGGCATGCCAGGCATTCAAAGCTCTCCAGATTTCATTCTAACTGTATCAGTGTTTTATTTTTCTTCATAGCAAAAATGGCCAATGCCACTAGCCAGCAGCAGCATGGCTAGTGCAGGTGGCCTGCAGCACGGTAAAACACACAGCCCGAGCTTGCTTCGGATCAGCAGAGGTAAACAGGAAGCTCTGAATCTTAATCAGGGTTTCTAGATTCAAAACACGAAGCAAAACTTGTTGGGAAATGGAATTCATTTGATGAGCATGTTTAAAATGTTTCCGCTTTTTTATTAGAATTGCTGTTGCACTGAAATAGCATAGTGGCAAGGGAACCCTTAACAATGTCTGTGGACAGAACCCATCCTGGAGTGTAGCTTTGGTTAATGGGCTACTGAAAAAGCACTTTCAGATGAGTCTTCAAATCGTTTTAAGGGTTTGTTTTATTGAGAAGTTGAGACATTTTGAGAGCATAAGTTGGTTAAAAGTCATTATGTCTATTTCCTGCGTTAGGAAGACTATAGGAAACGGAATGTAAAGCAGGAGGTGAAGTACAAAATGAAACATCTTTGGAGATAAAATGTGCACAAGCTCCTTTGGCAGAGCAGATGCCCAGGCAGACGTTTGTGTGATGCTGCCCTGTGCAGCCTCGGAGCGCTGCACAGACTGCTAGAGTAGGAATAAGAGTGCGCAGGCCTGCAGGGCCCAGAGCAGAGCACGCTATGCAGAGATCATCTGCACACAGCGGCCAGCACCACAGGCCAAGGGAGCAGTAGAGGTTTGTCACGGTAACGAGGTCCAGGAAGCTTTTACCTGCAGGTCTGCAGGCTCTCGTGGCAAAGGAAACCAGCTTGGCACCAGGGAATGAGCCTGTGTATAGGAGCTGCCACATAGCCCTGCACCCTGCAGGAGGGCTGCTTCTGCTGGCCTCTCTGCTGTGGCTTTATTTTGGCAAGCCTTATTCCTTCATTAGGAGGGAGAGGAGGAAAGAAGGAAGGGGAATTTGACATCTGGAAGTCATGCTTCTCAATCCAGCTGCTAGATGAAAGGGTTCCTGCATGAAACTGAGACTCTGGACTGTAGCTAACATGCAGCTGGTTTATCTTTAGATTTAGAACAATGTGAGAGAATAGAAAATACAGTCTGTTTCTCCCTGTCCTACACAAATGTCTCATTTTGATTGATACTCTGTTTTTCTGATTGTTTTCTTGTGGGTTTTTTTTTTTTCTTTTTTGCTGTTCTTGGCTAGCTGATAATTATTGAATATGCTCAATGAATTTCAGCTACATTCAAAATTCAAGATATGTTTAAATTGTCCAGCAATTCTAATAGCAGATGGTCCAACAATAACTGCTATTCTTATTTGCTATAAAACAAAAATCTTGGCTCTGTTACGCTTTTCCCTATTTGACCCCTTATAGCAAGAACTCTTTTTTTTTTTTTTTTTTTTTTTTTTTAAGAATTGGTTTTGCACCAAGATGCTGTTTTCTCCTTCAGAACCATCTGTGCAGTAATGCTGTATGTCGCTTTTGTCTCATGCTTAGCTGTGCCATTTTTAACTGGAAGTGCCCAGGTTTTGCCCACGCTGTTGGGATGCAGCTCAGCCCATGGCACCTCCGACGTGCTGGAGGTTTAGCACCGGTCACACTCCTTGGCAGCAGCCAGCGCTGCTCCGAATCGTGTCGTGCTTGCCCTGTTCCCTGGCTTTTCCTCCCTGTGTCCTGGCCTGTTCCTGGCCCTTTTCTCGTGCAGGGATGTTGAGGCCTCCCAGCTGTGTTCACTTCGTTCGCTTCTTGAATTTTATCTTGGAGCTTTTATTACTTTGATTTACCCACAGCATTCTGTGCATCTACCAACCATATCATCTTCACAGGTGTCGTGCTGGTATTAGGGGGGATGCCTATGTAGATTAAAAAAATATTTATCCATTCATATATATATATATATATATATATACACGCACACACATACACAGAGTTGTATATGTAGTCTTTGGTATATGCATTATAAATATGAATTTTATATATAAGTATATATATTTATATGAGTTATAAATTCTCATATAACTCAAATAAATATGTAAGTGTGTGTGTGCCTGTGTGTGTGTGTATATATATATATGTATAAAAGTATATGAGGTATACGAGTTATAAAACTCAAATTCAAGGTAGAGACGAAGAACAGATAGGTTTAGAATGAGCAGGTCACCAGACAACGTGGTTCACAGGAGTGGCCATGGGCAGACCTCAGCTGGGTGTTCCTGTTTGTCTTGGTAGAGTGACAGTGATACTTTTTCAGTGAGCTACTTGGAGGTCTCTGAAAAGGGTTAAAAACTAGTTACTCGAGTGCTGAATTTTGGAAGCAAAACTGAAACTCTGATGTTAGTGTTGTATTGTAATTGCCATTATTTTTCTTCCAGTTCTTCAGAACCACGTCCAGCTGGCTTGGAGGAGAATGATCAATCTTCAATGTCTGGAGACCAGGGAATTAATCTAGATAATACAGGCCCCAAACTTTCAGATTTTGCCAGTAGGCCACCAGGTAGTAGCGTTTTTATGTGGATTATTTGACTGTAATAATGATTTTTGCTGCTTTTGCTGCTCTTTAACAGTGCTTGTTTGTGTTGGTGCCGTTGTTTAAGTGCTTTCCTTGAATTAACTCAAAATGAGTATGGGCAGCCACATGTCTTATAGGTCATATCCTTCTAGTAATCATGTTGAATATGGTAGATGCATTTATGGATAACATAACACATAAAAAAAAATCCTGTATTTCTAGCTGCGGCCTTGAAATTCTGAGCATTAGCCAATACCTTATTGTTTATAATTAAGAAATAGAAGTTACTGTTGGAAAAAAAACTAATTATTATTCATATGTAGGGAGGATTCAATCCAAAGTCCCAAAAGATATTTCAGGATTTTATCCACATGAGTGGTTCTTACCACCATTTGACTTTTGCTTTTTAGCCTAGTGATGTACGGGAGATTCTGCTTTGAATCCTAGAAACTGTTGGATCTGTAACACGCTTTTTCCTGCCTGTCCCCAATGGCTTTCAAAATTTTAAGTTTGTTTTGGGGATAATTAACCCATGAAGGTTCAACTCTGCATTTATGAGTAAAAAACCAAGCCTGCAGAAAGTTGCAGAGCCTTTTATCGGGTGGCAAAAATTCAGAATAATAGCCAGTAGCTGATAGGATAAATTAGAGCTCATCAGTTAAATGTCTTGCAAAACATTTGTACATTAAATGAAAATATTAAGGATTAAAGTCCTTGTCCTTGTTTGCGAAAACCTGTTTTATGGCAGTGGCTCGTGTATTACATCAGCTGGTTCCTGGCTGCACTCTGAGACTGTTCCTTGCAGAAATGCTGCTTTCTCCAGTGCATTTATTTATGTATTTAATGGGCGAATGTATCATCATCTCTTTTAGGCTATCCTTCTCAGCCAGGGGAGCAAAGACAACTCCAGCAGATGCCCCCTCAGCTCATGCCGCATGCACAGCAGCCGCAGCAGCAGGCGCAGCCACCACCGCAACAGGCGCAGGCACCACCACAGACGCAGCAGCAGCAGCAGCAGATGATGATGATGCTCATGATGCAGCAGGACCCCAAGTCAGTCAGGCTGCCGGTGCCACAGGGAGTTCATCCACCCAGGGGGCCTCTGAATGTGGATGCCCCGCGAATGCCGATGCAGCAGGGCACTAACGTGTCAGTAATGGTTAACTTGCAAGGGCCTGGCTCGGTGCCTCCATCTCCTGATAAACAGAGGATTGCCTTGCCAGGCAATCCTTCTCTGGGAAATAACGCCAGAAAAATGGTTTATCAAGATAATGTGCAGAATCCTTCCAGCTCGCCCCTGGGGGAGGTCTCCTCAGTATCCTCCCTTCCAGAGGGAGGGGGAGCCGAAGGCCCTCCAGCATCAGGAGCCCAGAATAACTTGACATCGCATTTAGTAGTTTCACAAAACCAATTAATGATGACTGGACCCAAACCTGGACCATCCCCCCTTTCAAGTGCACAAGGTGCAAGTCCTCAGCAGCAGTCTAGTTCTCTGCCGGGCGCTCTTACCCACCATTTTCCAAATGTTGCCACCCCATCACAAACTTCAAGGCCTAAAACCCCAAACAGAGCAAGCCCAAGGCCCTACTATCCTCAGACTCCTAATAACCGTCCACCTAGCACAGAGCCTTCAGAAATAAGCTTGTCTCCAGAAAGACTCAATGCTTCTATAGCGGGTCTTTTTCCTCCCCAGATTAATATTCCCTTACCTCCCAGGCCTAATCTCAATCGAGGATTTGATCAGCAGGGTCTTAATCCAACTACTTTGAAGGCCATTGGGCAGGCCCCATCAAACCTCACAGTTAATAATCAGTCTAGCTTTGCTTCCCAACAAGCACACAAACTGGAAGGTGTGGTTCTTAATTCGGGAAAGCAAACCAACGCCGGAGGAACCAAGAGAGCAAGCCCAAGCAATAGCCGAAGGTCCAGTCCTGGCTCCAGCAGGAAAACTACACCAAGCCCTGGCAGGCAAAATTCCAAAGCAGCAAAGCTCACCCTGACAACTCAGCAGAATCCACCTCTCTTGCAGAACATGGAATTACAAAGAAATATGATGGTTGGCCCCTCTTCCTTGCCTGCACCTGTGACTACAAGTTTTCAAAATAACAGCGTGCTAAGTAATCAGAATCCTGCAATTCCTGTGCCTGTTATGCCAGGCGTTTCCGAGGACGGTAAAGAAAGCCTTCCTGGTCCTCAAGACAGCGAGTGTCAAACTGCAGCGGGGGCCTCAGCTAACAAGGAACCGCCCAATATTGAATTGAAAGGCATCCCCACCCCAGAAATAAAAATGTCGGTGCCAGAAGAACAGTTGAAAAAAGATGGACAATCCTTGGATGCTGGTAAGCTGCCTGCCTTGGAGGAAAGCAAACCCATGGTATCTCCAGCAATGAGAGAGGCCCCAACTTCTTTAAGTCAACTTCTTGATAATTCTGGAGCTCCTAACGTAACCATTAAGCCCCCTGGGCTGACGAGTCTTGAAATGGCACCACTGGTTCCTCCTGTGGAGGAGCTGAAGAAGATCGCGGTTATTCCTCCGCTGCAAGACCCCTCCTCGGGCAAAGAGCCTTCTAGTTCACTTAGTTTGCCTCCAAGCAATGAGTCCAGTTCAAATCCAGGGCACCAGGAACTGGGAGAACTAAACTCCAGTGTTACACAGACTGTTCCTCCAGTAGTGCAAAGGCCTGTCAGCTCTGCTTCAATTTCTGCTCCTTTACCGCCCAACCAAATAACAGTTTTTGTAACTTCAAACCCTATAACATCCTCTGCCAGTACATCAGCACCACTGCCATCCCACTTGCAGCCCGCGCTGGTATCGACGGTTGTCACGATGCCCAACGTCGGAACCAAAGTCATGGTTTCGGAGGGACAGTCATCAGCAGTTCAGTCTAATGCCCGGACACAGTTTATTACACCTGTTTTTATAAACTCCTCATCAATAATTCAGGTTATGAAAGGCTCTCAACCAAGCACAATTCCAGCAGCCCAAATGACTTCTAACTCTAGCCTAATGCCTCAGTCGGTGGCAGTTGTCGGTCCTTTGCATTTGCCGCAGAACATAAAGTTCTCATCTGGGCCTGCTCCTCCCAGCACATCCTCTAGCAGTCCTGTTTCTAACATCCCAACGAGCAGGCCGCTGGTTCTGAATCCAATGGTGCCTCCCGCCCAGCTGCCTTCTCCTGCTGCAACTCCCTCTAATGCCCCTGCACATCTTCCAGCTCCGCAGGGCAAAGACTTCAGCCCAGAGGAGGCCTCTTCTCAGAGCGCTGGGACAACTGAGCAGGGCTCTGTCACAGCAGCACAGTCTGGGTCTGGCGTTTCCCCTCTCCTCACAAGCAGTCCAGGATCCGGGAACAGACGAAGTCCCGTTTCATCAAGTAAAGGAAAGGGAAAAGTAGACAAGATTGGCCAACTCTTACTGACTAAAGCGTGCAAGAAAGTCACTGGCTCCCTTGAGAAAGGAGAAGAACAGTATGCTTTGGATGGGGAGGGAGAAGGCCAGGGACTAGAAATGCCAGGCCCAAGCAGCTTGGGAACGGAGCAAGCACCAGCAGAAGCAGACAATAAAAGTGTGACCCCTCCAGCACCCAGTGCAGCCCGCGCGCCGAGCAGGCCGCAGCGGGCTCGGCCGAGGAGAAAGCGGGCGCACAGCAGGAGCTGCTTCAAAGCACAGGTACGTCCCCTGCCACCCTGCTCCCGTGGAAGGAGGGAGATTGCTCGAACTTCTAATGTGTTTTGTTTTTTTTTCCCATAAACAATATAGATACTTAAGACTAACGTCTACTTTTTGTTTGTTTTTGTTTCTAATATCTGAGTGATGTAAGGTCTTGAATTTCACTAAAATTCACGTTTTCATTTTTTTATCATGTTTTTCATGTGCTACTTAAACATGGGACATTTGATGTGAACATAAAATGCAATAGCTTAGGAGTGACTTCAAAGAACTGTTAAAAGTAAGGAGAAAAGCTAGATATATCAACAGTGACAAAAGTAATACTTAGGGCTTCTTCTAAGCTGACAAGTGTGTGGTTTTTTTTTTTTTTTTTTTCTGCTTCAGTCTTGCCAGTGAGTGCTTTCTTGTTGTTTTTATTTTTAACTTATTTCAGTATATTGACTTCATTAAGATATTGTGGGTTAGTCATGCCACCAGGTTCCATCTTCCCATAATGTTAACCCTCTAAGGAATTGGCCAAAGTATTGCTAGCGTGCAGCAAAAGAGGAAGACAAAAACCCTTAGGTCTAGGGAAAAAATAAAATGCTCATTTCAGAGAAACACCTAAAAATGCAACTCTGAGTATGTTCCATCTCATTGCATAAAATAACTTTGTATCTGACATTTTTTCTCCTTTATTGTTTTAATTGAAAAATCCGAACAGACTTTGTTTGTGACATCTCTGCCGCTTCTTTATGCTGTTGGTAATCTCCTGAAAATGGTGTGGGAATAAGCCACGAGCGCTGAAGTAAACTGCCTGAATATCCCTTGTGCTTAATATCATGAGTTTACATGTGCAAGTTTAAAGTCACTGCCCACAGGTGTCCGTGGCGCTGAGAACTTTAGCTTGAATATGATTTTAGATGTATATCGTAGCAGTATGCCACTAGAAAATGACAATATTTACGTGAGCTTCACGGAAGGAATTGTGTTTTGTGGGAAGGAAAAGCTGTTGGCAGACGCAACCTGACATCAGGCTGCAAGGCCTTAACAGCAAAGAGTTTGCAAGAGCTCTTGCTGCTCATGGCTTAATGTGTAAGAAGCAGCTGGAAAACAGGACCGAGGCGCCTTACAAGGTGGGTTTGGTCAACGTGCACCAACAGGGCAGTCGAGTAACCCAGGTGCACTGAGGTGCCTGGCCTCAGCATCGAGAGGATGGAGTCGCTTGTTCTCAGGTCTGCAGCCAGCTTTTGTTTCATACTGCAAAATTCTGGCTGCAAATTAACAGTTTGTCCTTCCTGTTTGGATTCTGAGTTACAATCAGCTCATGAAGACAGAAAGTAAGTGCTAGAAACGTCGCCAACGGCTTTGCAAGTGGATGTTCTTTGTCTAAACAAGAACGTCTCCTCGGTGCTCGTATTCTTCCTGAGTTCATGACCACGTGTAAAGTAAGATTGTCTGACAAGAACTGTTTTTTCCAACTTATTTTTACCTTGGCAACCTGAGAAATGTTAAGTCATGGCATCTTATTGTCAAAGGACTTTGTGGAAGCTTCTAGACCATATTTTGCAGTCCTGCAATTTAATTGAAAGGTTAAGGGTATTGATCCATTAACAAAGATGCTGTTTTCTCTCAAAGCTTCTGTTGAAATGAGCATTAAGTTACCTAGTCCTGAATTTCTAGGCCTTTAATTGCTAGGCTTAATGATAAGCTTTTGCCTTTAGAAATCTGTTTTATGGTATTTAATTTCATCCCTCATTCTTGATTGGGAAAACATGCTTGGGGTGGAGATGCAAAAGATTTTGTAGATAATGTACTTGGAGAGGTGTGGGGAGGGAGAGTAGAGGGTGCGTTAAAAATATAAGTGTAAAAACATAGGGGTAAGATGCACCGTTTTGTAAAAATAGTCCAGTCAGTCAACAAAACCTTCTTGTGACTCCCTTTGCAAATAATGCTTTTTCCTCCACTTTTGTTCTAGCCTCCTCTCAACATTTAGCCCAGAAAAAAAGTTCAGTTACAACATCAGAAAGTACTGTTCAAAGAACAGGTAAATTACACTTTGGAAAAGGAGAACGTAGGTGAACTAATCTCATTGTGTTTGTAGCTGCTATTGCATTGCTTAACGATCGTTAAATGTGTTTAATGATCACTAAAATGCTTGGTAGTTTGTGGCTTGTTTTTTCTCTCTTTTTGTGGGGATGATGTTTTTGGTGTTATGTACAGTGTGTGTTAAAGTTTCATAAACCTGGTTGGAGATTCAGTACAGAATAATGTAAAAGAAAAAGTTACCAAGTTGGTTTTTAAATATTTGTTCATAAGCTTGAAAATTGGCCCCCTTTTTTGATATTCTGTGTTTGAGTTTTGAGGTTTGATTTGCAGCAAGTCGGATATTCTTCTGTTGTTCAAATTTTGGTAGGAAGAAAAAAAAATTGCTTTATGTTTCTCAGTCTTTTTGTTGCTGCAAATGAAGCCTGTTTCTTCCAGTTAGCGACACACATACTTGCACTAAAGCACCTGATATTCCTTGAATAGAAATCTAAGGGATTGGCCTTAAGAGGACTGGTCTCTAAGGGGACTTTTTACTCTTTTTACAACTTTGTTCCAGGCACACATTATAGAAAAAAAAGGGCTTTATCTTAAAGTGTTTTTTGCATTGCTGTCCAAAGGTCACAAGATATTAAATAAATTAGTTGGATTACAGGACAGGAATCTTTATAAGGCAACAGGAAATGTATATGATGTATATCCTGATAATCCCTAGCTCAGGAGCAGTCCGTCAGAGGGGACATTGCGTTGAGATGTAGGTGCTCCATCTCACAAAGGATATGGTGGGAGTTGAAGGACTGATTTCAGAAACAAGAAGTTGTCAGTCCTCTGTGATAGAAAAGAAAGTTGTTTACTGTGACACCGATTCAAAAAGAAACCTGATGTGTACATAAATAAATGAGAGGTGGGAGGGAGCACCAGAGAGGGGAAGGAGGTGGATCCCGGAGCACTTTCCACGTACCCTCCTGGGAAATGGCTCCATTCAGCCCCAGCGCAACTGGGCTTCAAGCAGGCGCCCTCATCTCCCCGCTCCATTCGGGGTTCCTGAGCACGTGGTGCCCTGGGAGACCGTTGGGCTAAATGTCCAGGCAAAATTGTACATAAACTGTATACCCAGACCAGGATTTTTAAGATTTAAAACTAATAAAACCTGAAATTTTGTAAGGAATGAACTAAGTTTAGTGGTTAAGGGAGTGGACAGAGCCCTTATCAGCAAGTTCCTCTCTAGTTTTCTTCTGCAGGGTCTTTTTTTTTTTTTTTTTTTCTTCAACCCTTTTCTGTCTGAGCTGGTGCAGACCAAAACTGAGAGGACCCGAAGCTGAAAGCAGCAGCTCCCTTGATAACTTTGGCTGCTTTGCTCTGCAAATAGCACTAGATGAGGAGCTCATTCTTCAGACCTAATGTATAGCAGGAATTGTGTGAGATAGTCATGCCTTGTCAGTGCATATGTACTTCCACAGCAGACTTACAAATTATCTTTTTCTCTTGTAGAACTTGAAACAAATGCTGCAGTAGTTGCTGGTCAAAGGTAAGGAGATTGTAAAAATTCAGAATAGATGTAATTTTCGTGGGAGGAAGTCCTTTTCACTTTATTCCATTTGCACAACTTGCGAAAGACCCTTTTGCTCTTCCTTTTTGTTTTCTTTCTTTCCTGCCAAGGAGTTGGGTTGCTTGACTGTTTCAGAATATTGCTGAAATGCAGAATTTAAGGTAACTTTTTTCTTAATCTGTCGTCTTGCTTTGGGCAGTATTTCCTCGTATCCCTTTAGGCCCAAACATTGCACATTCTGGAAGAGTCTTGATGGTTCCAGCATTTGGCATTTTCTGAAATCCCAAACCAAAAATAAAAACCTCAAATCCTGCAGACCAGCTGTCTTGTGAATTTTTGCTTTCTGGAACTAGGTCTTTCTAAAGACTGTTCTTCTGACAGCGTTACCTGCCTTGCTCCATGTTTTCTCCAGGCTTCCTCCTTGTTTACTCTTTTCTAAAACTTAATTGGAAAGCCTTCCAGAAACTTTGTCTTGTCCTGATGAAGACAGGCAATAATCTAAAGAACAAATATCGAATGGTTATGTCCTGTCCAGAAGAAAATAATTTTCCAAATCTATTTCTGTTGTATCCTAAAAACACTTGAGCTCTTAAACTTTAGGCAGCTGTAACACCTATTTAAGATCTCTGACAGTGGTGCTAGCACAGCTGGCCCTGTTTTGATGGGGCCTAATCAGAGGGAATAATTCCCTCAGCCAGGACAAATAATGGAATTCACTCCATCAGTTCGTTGGGAACTAAGGTAGTTTTTTTTTTTTTCTTTTTTTTTTTTTAAGGGAAGTAAGCAGTTTACTCTTAGATTGGGAATGACTCTGAATTGACTACTTAAAATTATTTAGCTTCAAATGGGCCGGGTTCTTCCAGTAGTTGCTTCTGTTTGGTAGTGACATGAACACTTCCCCTTTGTTAATGTTATCAGAGATAAGATGAACTTTCCCATTACTATTTTTTTTTTTTTTAAGAGGAACGGTAGATTTTTCTTGCTTTCTAAAAAGCTTAAGGCGAGCCACTTGGCAAATGGGAATATTTTCCAAATTGTTACCTTGCATATCATTTTGCAAACTCATTGAACACATCAAATTATCCCAGGTGCCTTCAGTTTTGATTTTTTTCTGGGCTGATACCTTTCGGGTCACCACTGGAAAAGAAGGAAAATTTTCAGGCAAATTACTAATCTAGTGCAGTCTGATAATTAAGAAATACTCAGCAGGCGCTTTGAGCTTCCAGAGTTAAATGTATATGCAGTACAACTTGGAACCCTTAGAGAAACCCTGCAATGTGCAAAGTACTGCTTTTATTTAGGCCAACTTGAATTCCTTCCAAAAGGAGTTGCGTTGGTTCCTATGAAACGATCCAAATTTATGGATTAATCATTTAGCTTCTTTAAAAAGTACCTTTTTAACTGAACTTCACGTGATGGTATTCCTTTTCGTACATAGCTCTCCTCTGGAATAGGTAGCTGTGGTTTCCGTTTCTCAGGTTATTTAGCAGAAAACAGCTTGGGACTTGTTTGAGGGATTCAGTTTACAGAGTGCCTGTAATACTGACTAGGGGGGAGATTTAGGTATTAGGTATTTAGGATTTAGGTATTGATTTTGTGCCTCAGACTATCAGAGTGCTTCTAGATATTCATTTCCTCCGTGGTTCCCTGCTTACACTTCCTTTTTTTATACTTGCTTTCCTTACACAGGCCAGCTGTTTTATTTCAGAGAGCTGTTAGTTAAACCTACAAGCATTTGTAGTGGTTTCTTTCCTCTTAAGGTAGGACTTCTTCTGAACAAAATGATCCTGTAATAGAACCTCTGTAGTTGACAGGTCTGTTTTGGTGTTTTCCATCAGTTCTCTGGTTAAGACCGTCTTCCTTGAATCTTGCAGGTGGCACGGGCAGGGCATGCAGTGAGTTTTCTTTCTCCTTTTCATTTGGTTCATCAGTTATCTTTGAATTAGCTTAATCTTCAGACACGGTTTATCATGAGAATTTATCTGGTGTTAATGCATTAGGGAGAAGAGCCCTCAGTCTCAGAGTGATTTTACAAAACTGATAGTAATAAAACAAAGGAGGAACTCATGATAAATGTAGCACTTCCTATATTGTCTCAATGATGAGAAGTGTGGAGTTCTACACTACCTAAAATTGATTTTATGATAGAAGTATACTTTAAAGACCATTTTAAATCGACCTTAAGCTTTTTAATATGCAAAGAAGTCACTTAGGTCAGTGAAGGGAGTCTTTCCAGTGGAAGCAGGGATGGCATGCTCACCTGCAAGTTCCTAATTCTTCCTTATGTTCATCTGCAAATTCAACTCTGCATTCCCATATCATAGCAGTTTCTAATGTAACTTATTTGCTTTTCCTAGACTTCAGTAATGGTGGCACCTGTGGAAAACAGAGCTGACAATTTATAATGCATCTAATTTCTTGGTCTTCTAATGTTGAAAATGTTCTCTTTGAGGACTTCTCAATTCTGTATCCTCTGATAATTTTAATAGAAATGGACTATACTCTGGCTTACTCAGGTCATTCTTCATCTGATAAAACTTGCAGTATCTCTAGCGTTTCATATCTTCAGTGCTAATAGTCTGGAACTGGTACCTGTGTCAGTCCATCCTTCAGCTTGTCTGATTGCATAGGAAAACCTACTACTTCTTGCACTTCATCAGAAATGTTTTGTCCCACTTTATTAGTAATGAGACAAAAGAGAATTGTGAAAAGTCTAAAACTCCAAGTAGAAGAAATTCAAGGACAGAGGATTCTGCGGCTTCGCAAGAAACTGCAGAGAACGGACAGCGCAAGAGGTCCTCCCGACCAGCATCAGCATCCAGCACTGCAAAAGGTAAAATGCACAGCCCTGCTTCCTGCGGAGAGGGCAGGGAGTGAAGCTTCCCAAATAGCAGCCCTTTCCACACCTGGGGCCTAGCCATGGTTTACAGCTTGTAAATACCGTGTGCTTTTAACTCTAATTTCAACGAGTTAGACACAGGTTGGTGTTAAAACATCCTCCTTAATCTGTTATTGGCAGTGAATTTTGTTGTACGCATTCTCCACTGTTCAATTCACGGGATTTTTTGGCGCACTAATCGACGTAGCATTTGCAAATCTTGCCTAGCTGAGGTAGAATCTCTTGGCAGAAGCGTGTGGATGTTAAAAGGCCTGTCCTGAAGCCTTCAGGGATACTTTTTTTTTTTTTTTTTTTCCTGGAGTGGGAAGACACGAGCCCAGTGGTCGAGTCTTCCCTGGCACATGGCAAAGGCGGCGCTGCCGTCGCAGCGCGCCGCGTTAATGCACAGCTCCTTGGCCGTTCCTTCCAAGAACACGCAGTTCTCGGTCCCAACTACGAGCCCGGGGCATTAGCAGTTGCTGATGTGCCTTACTTCTCTGTGGGTTACAACCCTCAGCAAAGGCTGGCAAATGCAGCTGTTCTGCAGCTTTGAAGCCGCGTCGGCTCCCTGGGTTTGAGGGTCAGCAAAGTTCTGATGGACAAAAACTCTGTGAGAGGGTAGAGAGACTGCCAAGAGGAACTATTTGACCAATATTTTAAAGACATCATGCAGAGCAAAGAGGTATTAATATTAAATTATTCTAAAAAGTCGAGTTGAATTCAGCAACCATTTTCAATACTAAAGTTTGGTGGTAAGAATATTTGCATTTGAAGAGTTTCAGAGAAGACTTCAGAGATACCTAATTGTGTAACGACCCTTAAAGATTACCCAAAGGGACTGATGTGTTCTGCAGTTTAGTGGCTACTGAATTTAATTAAATTTGCTCCTTGTGGCAGGATTGTACAAAATAATCTAAGGCTGTGTTGTAAAAAATAATTTATCTTTCATGGTTGTGAAGAAAGCTTTGAAAATGTGAACAGATGTAAAGGTGGTTCCATAAGAGCATCTCAAGTTTGAGGCAACCTGGAGCAATGGGTCTGAAAAGTGTGACTAGCCCCATGTGTTGTAATGAGTAAACCTAAAGATGACAACCAGTGGCATGTCCAAACGTGAAAATGTGGGAACATTAAAGTACGCTAAATAATATCAGAATTAATTTAGATTTTTTTGTACTGACTGTATCGTTCATTTACCTCTGTGAGTAAAACCAGTGATTTTAAAGACATGTGTCTGAAACTGCCACAGTATCCAAGGGTCTTGCTTGAACCCACAGGTCCAGCCAGCAGCTAGTACCCTGGGCTTTGAGTTTTTTTCTCTCCCTGTAGACAACTGTCTACTTCCAAGCCATGGACAGAGTGAGCAAAACAAGGCTCCATAGTGCAAGAGCTGATGGGTTCCGTAGCTGAGGGTGTGGAAGCGGTTTGCTGCTTGTGCCTATTCTACATTTATTGCTCATGCAAGCCTAAGAAAGCTTGTGTGTGTGATGACTATGGTGGCATACGCAGGTGCATTATCTGTGTCCCTGGAAAATCATTGTCGATGTTTGAGGATGCAGGGCTGGAAGCAAACACTGTTTGGAACACAGGCCGGCCAGGTCAGGAGCAGCAGCGGCGCTTCCGCAGAGCGGGAGCATCGTGGTCTGATCAGCGTGCCCACGGATGGCCCTTCCCGCCGCTCCAGAAGGAGCGGAGGGAGGATTGGGATAGGGCTGACGTGGAAGGCAGCCCTGGCGGCGCCAGGAGCGCTGCCGTGTGCGGGGCTGGGGTGGAAGCAGGGCCGAGGGTGGCGGTCCCCGAGGTCGTGGTGGCTCCGTCCATGCTGACGCCTGCCCGCCTCGAGCAGAGACGTCGCAGCAGCCGGTACCGCTGCAGCCAACGCTGCTGGCGACCAAACCGCTGGAAGCAGCATTCCTGCCTGGAAGGGGGCCTCCTCGGACCATTCAGTCCTCTCTTATTTCTGAAAACTGGTGCTCTATTGGCATTTTCACTCCTTTAAGTACCTTTTCAGCAAGGGCTGTTCCAGCATTTACTGTAGCTTTGGACTGGTTAAATTTTGAAGTGTTTTTAATATAACATTTAATAGGCATTGAGCTGTACCGTTGCTTCCCTAGTTTTAAAAGTGTGACTGCAAAATGCTTCCCTTTTTTCGATTCTGAAACACACAGAGCTCTAATAGCTTTCAGCAGATACTGTGAAGAGCCAAGGATGCATTGCCAGTGCTTAAAACCATGCTTTTTAAAAAACCTAAACACACAAATACGCTCGGTCCTGGCTCGATTCTCCTTCTGTTTGTTCTAAGATGGCAGCTTAGTGCCCTGGTAAGTGCCCTGCAAATGTCTCCTGCTCTCCTGCAGCTTCTGTAAGGGCTCTTGGTGGTTCTGCTCAAGTGCTAGGATATGCTGGATCTCCCTGCACACGCTGTTTTTCTGGGAATCCTGATGGCCGCTGCAGAGACCTGCTTTCCAAACGACCTGGCTTTGTGAGGACTCGGATGAACAGACCCTTAGCCTGTGCGGCAGACTCCAAAATGTCTTTCTGAGGTTTCCTACAACATCCTCTCCGAGGGCTGGGCTTGGATCCCTTTTATGTAGTTTGTTTCCAAAGCTGTTCCTCATGTTTCATGGAGGCTTCTTTTTGTGTTACAGCTGAGCAAGTTATGGAATGGGGGAAAGTAAAGATAAAGTATGGGTAAAAAAAAAAAAAAAAATCTGATTTTTGTTTCTGAGGCTTTGATGGTAGGATTCCAGCATCCTCGTAACACTGAAGTTCTGCCTCTGTGTTTGGAAGAGAAGTTGATGGGAGTTTGGTTGTGCTGCTGCTGAGGGTTGCAGTCAGGACGAAGGGTCCGTCTGTGCCCAGCGGTGCCAGGGCCGGCCCTGCTCCGGCGCCGCCGGCCCGAGGGCTTCGCCAGGTTTAGGGAGCTGCAGGGGCCGTGACGGCTGTACCAACGGGGCATCCATGCTTTTTCTCTTCTCTTGATTTCAGAAACGAGTGCCAGTGCAATGCAGTCAAAAAGAAGAAAATCCAAGTAAATTACTGCATGGAAACATGAAACTTGTAAATGAGTGTGAATTTACCGATAGCAATTTTGAGCTGTGATTTTTCGTTTTTTAAATAAAATTCTGTACAGTAAGTCATTTTAATATTGTACTGTTCCCAATAAATGATTTTTTTCTATAAAAAAAAGAAAAACAAAAAAAAAAAACACAAATAGATCTTAAAAACCAGGTTCCTGTAAAAACCCTTTGGATTTACAAAGTGAAGTCCAGTGTTAGCACATTAGGTTAATGTGTTTTTAAAGGGAGGGGAGGGGAGGGGAAGGCAATTGTAAATTTATTTGTTTCCACTTTTCATAAACAAATTAGAATACAGGGTTGTCATTTTTAGGTATTAACATAATGTATTGTGCTGTTGTTTAAGTACTGTATGTGAATAGCAGTAAGAGGGTTATAAACAAACTGAGTCTTGTTTGGAAATGTAAATAATTTTATTATATAGTAGATCTGATGTATTTGTTGTAGAAATGGACCAGTGGAAAAAAAAATAAATTTAAGGGTTTGTATAATGTGGAATCCCTAATGCTCTAAATAAATGTTATTGTCCTATAATTTGGATTGTGTTATTATTATTATTAGCAGCAACAGCAGCATTGTTCCAAAGGGGAGGATCGGATGGATTATTTAGAGCTCCAGGCCTCCATGCTCCTTCTGTGGAGCTTTAGCCGGGAATTGGTTTAAGCACCAATGAATTGGCTGTCGCGGCTGTTCTCGCTAAGCAAGGCCGATGCTCCGAGGCCGCCGTGGGGACGCGGACATGTCGAGGCGCCCGCGATGCAGCTCTCCCTGCCACAAAGCAGGAAAATGCCCCTGGGCGTGGGAAGCTGCTCTCGGGGAACCTGGCAGGAGAAGGGCTGTGTCTGGGCGCAGAGAGCGGCTTCGCCTTCCCCGTGGGAAGAGGCAGAGAAGCCGGCGCCCTGTGCGTGAGCAGATACCCTCGCACTTGGTGTATCCCAAAAAAAATCGCATTCACAAACACATTTGCATACATGTAAAAAGGCTGGTTAAATATAAATTGGCAGGTGATGTCTCTTATAAAGACGGAAATTGTCTGATTGTTATATTAATGTTACACATTCTATTAATATAATATTAATATGGTCATTTATGCACCAGAGAGTAGACACCTTCTGCAGCTCCTCAGTGGAGGTTTGGATGCTGTCTGGCTCCAGGATGGCCAAGGAACTGCACAAAGTCCCGGGCAGGAGGCTCTTGTGCCTCTAGGGAAAGGCAGGACGAGATCCAGGGGTTGCGTTTCTGCTGGCTGAGGAAGAAGCTACATCCTGCTCCAGAGGAGCTGCTCCTCTTAAGATGAGAGGAAGGGAACGTTGTTGCCTGTATTGGATCCCTATGCACTCGGCATTGGAATGGAGGTTGACGGGTCTCATTTTTTAGAGATTCTCAAGACTCAGTTTGACAAATTCTGCATCCCCTGAGCTTGCTGTTGGTGCTGTTCTGAGCAGGAGGTTGGGCTAGTGACCTCCTGAAGGTTCTTCTGACTTGAATTATCCCATGATTTGCCTCCTGGTGCCAGTGTCTCCAGCGTGCTGCCTGGGCTTCCCACAAGATTTGTCCGAGTTCTCTTTTTTCTAATTTCTAGTTGTGGACGTTGAACCTAGCAGTTCCTTGAAGAGCTTTTCACAGGGGCTGGGGCACCGGGGCCGTGTGTGACACCCGGAGCTCCCTTTGCTCCATCTGATGGTGGCGGCGGCTGGACAGCACCGCTGGGGGTGTCTCGGTCACCCCTCTCACCTGCGGCTGTCCAGGACCATCCTCAAGGTTTGAGCATCCCCGGGGACAGCATCTCCATGACCTTCCCAGGCAACTTGCCCTCCTGTTCTCCCATGAGAAGGTTTCTCCTGTGTTGATGTGGCAGTTCCTGTCCTTCATTCTGTGTCCATTGCCGTTCACCCTGTCCCTGGGCTGGGAAGAGCTGTCTTTCCTGCCGCGCTCCCAGCAGGGATATGCCCAGGGCTGATCCACCTTCTCCAGGAGGAACGAGCCCCGCTCTCGGAGCCAGCATCTGCCCGATGCTCCGAGCCCAGCTAGTGACCACCGCAGCCTGCTAGGACGGACAACAGCGTAAAGCTTTGAGTGATCCCGAGTGTGTTTGGAGGTGCCTCTAATGCTGAGGAGACAGTTGGGTGCTTACACTGGGAGGTGCTGGAGCCCTGCAGAAGGGAGCACAGGGTTTCCTGGGACCCAGAATCTGCTTTGGCCCTTTCATTCCCTTCCTGGGTTCAGGGCTCACTAGTGGCAGGAGTCTACAGGGCGGCTGGGACAGCTCCCCGCCCCGGGCAGGCCTCCCCCAGGGCAGCTTCGCTAACTGCACTCTGCAAGTGACAGCAGTGGCCTTCATGAGCTTATTAAAAAAAAAGAGAAAGAAAAAGCTTTTGTGCACCATGGAAATGGTTTGTAAATAGGTTTACTTGCAGACTTCAGAGAAAAACACATAAAATAGACTTTAAATATATATATATTTTATTTCTTGTGGTTTTCCGTTATATTAGGTTTTTTTTTCCTTTTTTTTTTCAGTCAAAAGACAGCATTACAACCTAACACCCAGAACCATGTCACATACACACAGGCACACCACATAACGTACTCCAGGCAGCCGTGTCCCTCAGTCTCTGACACACGGCAGACGTTTAAGCGATGCCCCAGGAGAAGCAGCCCTCCTTCCCCTACCACCCTGCTCACATCACTCCAATACACAGCGTAGCACGCAGAAAGGACAGAATTTGTTACGTTTCGGCCTAGGTTTGGGCTCTGCGGCACTGGCGGCGTAGAGGATGTGGCGCTTTGTTTTTGCCTTCTCCAAACCCCGGGTTCCAGCGCTGTCCCACAGTTGTAAGGCGCGCGGTAGAGCCCGGCGGCCATGGAGCGCGTGGCTCCGCTCGCGCCGTCCCATGCCAAACGCGTCCCAGCGCGGGCGGCTGCATCGGCTCGCGGGTTTCTCCCTCCTCAGAGCCAAGCTGGGCCGAGGGCAGGGAACGACGCTGCTAAAAACAGGCAGGAACGTTCTCAAACACCCATTAAGGAAGGTTTAAGGCAGCCCTTTCTGCCCAAATAGCATTTCTCCATAGACGAGCGGTTGAAAGAACCAAAAGACAGTGGATATTGAACACAGTCTGTTTTGGCAAAGTGCTGGTGGTAGCTGTGTCACTGATAATCTGTCTTGGTGCACAGACTAGTGAGGAATCTGGTTCAGGCTGAGCTTTTCAAAGCTGTCTGAATCAGCAACCAAAGTCAGCTTCTGAGGGAATTAATTCTGTTGGCTTCTCCGAAAATCCCAGCATCTACTTTTAAAACAACATAAAAACGCAGAAATGGTGAAGATTTAATTCCTGGTCACCTCTTGCATAGGACTTTTAACTATAGTTCACTGGTTTATTCAAGTTCTGCAGACGTTTTTAAAAAAAGATGACAAGCCATGAGACAGGGTGAAAGGCACATGGATGCGGTGTGGAGACGCACAGCGCGTACGGGTGAGTTTTACAGGCGGAATACCTAGTGCTCGGGTTGCGTTATACAGATAAAATATTGCAATGCTGAATTGCTACAGTACGGTTATATTTAGGATACACGAGAAAAGACTGTTACTAACGACGGGGCTAGTTCGGCTGTTGCCTCTTCCCTAGAGCTCCAGAAACCCCTGTGAGGAGCCAGGGCTGAAGCGAAACCTTCGGCAAGACGGAGCACAGCAGCCCCGCGGGCACCTGGAAGCCGGACGGAGGCGGGACAGCAGAGGAACTCTGGGCTCCCTCGTGTTGTGCGACCCATTTTGAAGCCCCGTCTCCATCTGCAGAGGGTAAAATCTTCCAGCCCTTGGCAGAGCTGGCGGGACGCGGGCGCCGCCGGAGCCGCCGCACGCTGCGGCTTGCGCTGGGGATTTGCCTTTGGATTGCAGCGGCCGTGGGCACGGGCGGCAGAGATCAGCAGATCGCTCTGCTGGCTCTGGTTATGGGACTGGAAAGGCAACATCTACTGCTGTAGTCTAGTGGCTATTGGCTCTGTGTGAGTTTAGATGGGGTTAGATGGATGTGCATCCATTAAAAAAACAATTAAAATGAAGACATTAGGAGACACCTTCGACGTTAAAGCTGCTCATTTTTGTCATCCTCATCTTTTTAAGGGAAGAGGGTCGGTTACCAAAAGAAGGGCCAGTTGCTCGGGGGCTGCTTGGCTTCACGAAACACAAGGCCCCCTGTGAAAGCTGGCCCTGTTTTCCCAATTGCCAAGAGCCGCATCCGGAGCCACAAGCGGGTGACAAGTGCTCCCTCCTGGGGCACAGCAGGACCCGGACGCAGCTGCTCCCAGGGGTGCGAGGGGTTGTGAGCTTCTTGCCCCAAAGAAACCTGCCAAACAGGCTCTCCTTCCGCTTCCTCCATCTGTGCCCCAATTCCCATGGAGAGACGCTCTGTTCATGTCAATGGGATAAGGACTGAGCCCTTGAGGACACCGGGAAACTATTCCTCATGTGGACATTGCCCTGAATGGAGCAGAGAGACATGGACGGGGGTGTAAAGCTTCCCCCCGCCACACTGCTCTCAGTGACTTCCGTGCAGAGGAAGAGGAGCCCCAGGGCAGCTCTCGGCCTCGCAGAGGGCCCTGGACACCCCCCGGGTCCCGTGGGAGCCCAAGGGTCCCCTGGGCTCTGTGGAGCGACCTGGCTTGGACCCTGGATGGGGACTCAAATCACTGCGAGAAGCAAATACAAAGAGGGAGGTCCTAGAAATAACTAGGTGGAAGGGGAGGATCTGGCGCAGATGGAGGAGAGTGAGGCAGGAAAAGGTGGCCCTGGAGCTCCTGCCCACGGTGACATCACGGGCAGCTGCTGCCAACCATTCCCTGGCGCTTCCTTCACCTGGGCTCTCCTATCCCGCTTTGCCACGCATGCAGTTTCTGGTTATTAAGTAATTTCACATTTGGGCATTTGTTTGCTTGCTTTTACACACATTCTGCTCAACTGGATTTCCACCATGTTATTTATGGTATTTATCCATGTATTTATCCTATGGGGGAGCAATTTCCAGAAGGTCTAATTGAATACAAAATCTCGACAGAGTACTTTTGCTTCGTTATCCTGACTGCTATGACCGAGTATCTATCTGGTGGATTTTTCTCCCCAGTGAGGCTGAATGGAATAGAAAGAAAAAAGACACTGCTAAGCCGCAAATGCAACGTTATCTGTTTGTTAGCAATGTGTCTAGGGAAACTGTGATGATTCCCATGGAGGTGATCTTCAGGATGAGCTATCCATTTGTGTTTTCCGTTATAGGAAAAGAAAAGCTGACGCCCATGGGAAGAACCGTTTTCCCTCCAGACGGAGCTTTTGTGACAGAGCAAATGCTTTTAGCAAGAATATTCATGGGGGCGAGTACGCGGGCGCTGCATGAGGAAGCCTGTTCTGCGGGAGTGCTGTTGCCTGCCTCTGCCAGCCCACCCTCACGAGCTTTAACTGCAAGGGAAAGCCAAAAATCCGGGAAAAGGGTGATCGGTGGCCGCTGTGTGTTGCTGGTGAGGTGCCCTCAGCATTAGAGAGCGGAGGCTGCGGCAGGCGAGGAGGCGCATTTATTGCAGGTGTTGCTGGAGGAACGTGTGGCTTCCCGGGCGTCCTCTGCAACCCAGCCGCAGCGCCAAGGGGCAGCCAGTGCCCAGGCCAAAGAAGGCCCCTCCAAGTGCTGAACTGTGAAATCTGCCCTTCTTAAAGCCCTCTAGAGACCCCCACATCTTTGTTTGTCCCTGAGTCCATGCCGTGGTTCCCTCCACGCAGTTAAAACTTAGAGCAGTCGGCAGACGCACAGCCCGCGTGCAGGCAGGCCCGCAGCCTCCCCGGCAGTGTCGAGCTCACGAACCCAACACACTGAACGCGACACACTGAAAAGAACAACCCACACCGCAGAACAACCCACCAAACAGCCACACTGTGGTTTAAAATATTTACACCTGCGCACGTGCGCACACACAGAAAAAGTTCGCAGTTTTAAGCACCTTTTGTTTGTTTGAAGATACAAGGAGACTCGCCAAACCTCAGCGCAAAGGGGGTGTTATTCCACGGGCGGGCCCCCCGCGCCGCGGGAGCCGCTCCGCACGGTGCCCAGCACCAACACTGCCCGGCAGCGAGCAGCAATTAATCGATGTTAATATCCGAGCGCACCCACAATCGGTACCCAAGAGGCCAGTACCACAGGAGCTGACAGCACAGTAAGAGCACTCCATTGACCTGGGGGATCCCACAGCCCTGCGTTAAGCTCTTAGTTACAACATTATTGATAATTTATTAACCCTTTATAAACAGACTCTTGGTATCAAGTGTGGTGACAGCTCTGTTTCGCTTCCTGTGCCAGCGAGGAGCAGCAAGGTGCAGGGTGTCTCAGGCTGGTGCAGCAGGGAAAACAGAACCCTTGGCATCGGCTTCCCAAACGTGGGACATGACAATAGCCAGGGCCACTCGCCGCAGACGCAGACCCCAGCGCTGCCTGGCAGCGCCAGCGAGCGCCTCGGCCTTGCCAGGAATTCAGCTCCGTCCAGGAAGGATGAGAGGGAGAGCAGAGGACAGCCTGGAAGAAGGGTTTCCTGCTGGGGTGAGTTTTGCCAGCAGATCCGCAGTGGCTTCGTGAGACACAAGCAGGGCTGCCCAGCACGAGCCCTGCGCCTCCGCAGCGCCAGCAGACCCCGCTCACGAGCACTTCTGTCAACGGTCAGAGAAACACAGCATCGCCCAGGTCACACCTGGGGACGGCTTTAGAAAAAAAAAGGCATTTAATGTGAAGCCAAGGATGGGAAAGGATGTAAACTTTGCCCTCAAGCCAAGGAGCCATCGTGTCTAGCGAAAAACAAGCTGTAGGTGAGGGGGCAGGTCTTCGTGTCCTGTCTGGTGTCACTCCGGTGCCGAGGAAGCACCGTCCCCCTTCCCAGCTGCTGGAGACACCAAGGATGACACCAGTAGGAGGAGGGAGATCACCGAGGGCTTCGCAAGGTCTCTCGTTTGCTCCCTGCTGATAACCCATCCTCTGCGAAAAGAAGCTCCAGTAGCTCTGTATTTACCAGGAAGGACGGAAAAGCAGCGGCCGAGCATGCAGCTCGTTTCTCAGCTGCGCAGATCCCACTCCGCACCCTCCTGCAGACAGAAAGGAGGTCTGGAAAGTCAATTTTGAAAGGGCACCAAGCTCCAGAAGGTAGAGCTGAAGTTCCTTGCAGCTCGGAGGATTTGAAGATGTGTCAGATGCAAAATACGGATGGGGCTGGGGCCTGGGCTGCAGCCCGGGCAGCAGCCGGAGCTGCGGCGCGTTCATCCCGTTAGCGCTGCCGCCGGCGCTGAGTTTCGCCCTGGGCGCACGTGGGGCCCCGGCTGCGTCTCCACCCCGCACGGGCACGGCCGAGTCACTGATGTCACGAAGGCTCCAAGTCTCTGTGCGGATCCCAGTAGCACTTTAAAGGGAAACTGGCCTGGAAGAATTGAAACTGAAAGGCTCCACAGCGTGGCTTAAAATAGGTACTGGAAACAGTTTTCACTCGCTGTGCTTTGGAAACCCTGTGTCATCAGCGCTGCAGAAAACTCTGCAGACCAACAGCCTGGAGCGTTTCCCAGGCCATCCAGGCTCCTCAGCCGCAGCTCTGGGAGCCTGGTGCGAGGTTTGCTTTTTCTCTCATTAAAAAAAAGATTTTCAGCAGTCTGAGGTTGGACCTAACAAACACCATCACTTAAAAACAGTTCACAAAGTGACACTAGAGAATTCAACATGTCGGATGGAAGAAACATGGGTGAAATCATGATTTGGGGAGGGGGGGGGTCGAGAGGGAGGACACGCATTTCCCAGACCAGGTGGCGGGAACCCAAGCTCAGGATGCACGGGCAGGGCGGGATATCCCCCGAGCACAGGGGCAAACCAGGGAAGCCCAGGAGTGGAGCCAGCGAGGTTAGCAAATTGCTGCTGTTTATTATCTTGGCTGGTTTGGAGCAGGATTGTTTTTTTCCTGCCAGTCTTGTCAGTGTCCTTACAAAGGTAGAATGAGTCAAGGACGGGTCCTTCATGGGGAGGGACTTGCATTAAAAATCAGCATTAGCCCAGGACTGAATTTGGCCCGTCATGTCGCAGGATGTGTTTTTTTCAGTAGGACAGAAAGGGAGGTCACATTATGGCTGGAGTCCGATGCCAGTGCAAGCCGTGGGTTCGCACAGCCGCTCTCACCTCCTGCCCGAATGCAGCGGCACTGCACAGCAGGGCTGCCACAGCCCTGGGGCAATTTGCTCTTCTCCTGCAGGGAGGCAGGAACATGGTCCACGGCTCTGCTCTGGGAACCAGCACTTCTCAGCTGCTCCCATTCCAACCTCTTTCCTTCGTTTTGCCTCTTTCCTCTGCCTTCTCCTTCAGATCCCATCTCCTCACATCCTCTATCATCTCACATCCTTCCACCACCAGCTTCAACGTACTCAACCACCTCAGAGCAGCTGCCCAAGGCCCTTCTCCTCCTTCCTCCCGGGGATTACCACAGGGCAGTGATAGCAGCAAGAGGGAGACTTTCCCAGGCCCAGGAAGGTATCGAGGACCCGGCACTCCCCTCCGTGGAGGTGGGCACTGCTGTTCTCCCCAGAAGGCCTCGCCATGGACCCCAGGCTCTGGCTGTCGATGGCTCGCGCTCCGCAGCCCGAACGGCACTGCCCTCACATATGCGCTCGTGAGCATACACACCTATGTATGGCCTGGGCAGGCGAGGGGCTGCTGGCATGGGCAGCCAGGTCTGCTCCAACAAGCACAACCCGCAGCTCAGAGGAACCAACACCCCTCTGGGGTTGTTGCTGTCCTACTGATGGACCCACGTCAGACACCTGCTGCTCAGATACACTGGCCTCTCTTCTTCCCCGGGATCTCTTCTCAGTGCTCACGGCGAGGAATGGCTGGTTGAACTGCTCCTGCGAGGCGCTGCCATGATCTTGGAGCTGGGTCAGTGTTCTTTTTCCTGAGATTTTTTTTTTTTAAGGTTGTCTTTAAAAACACAAAACACCAAACCTACCCGGATGTCTGCAGGGCAGCAGCTTCGGGAAGGCACCCAAGCTACGTAGGCAGAGCCTGTCTCAAGATTTCAGCCGGACGGAGAGGCACCAAACCGTTCTTCCGCAGCAGTAAAACCGTGGCTCTGGAGATCCTCTGCGGTACTTTCAATCACTTGGATATTTCCATCAGTCTCCTGCCTGGGATAAGCTCTTTTGGGAAGAACAGTGGCCATTTTGTGTTCTCCAGGTAAAACTGTAAGTAAAAAATTGAGGAGGGAAAGGGAAAGGGGCAGGTTGCTGGTTTCTCTTTCATCCAAACCACTGAATTTTCCTGCCATGAGCTATGCTGGTTTATTCAGGCCCTGCCAGGAGTTCCTGGTTGCCTCTCCACGGCAATGAGCAGCCTAAGAGTCGTGACTGGCTTGGCGCAGGCACAGCAAGTGCTGTGAGACGCCCTATGGCAACCCAGACACTCCTGGAGAACAGCCTGGACGTGGTATTTAAAAAAAAAAATAAAAGGCTGAGCAGCGTTGGAGGCGACACAGCATCACGTGGGTCGGATCTCCCGCAGGCTGCAGCGCTGCAGCCCACCAGCCCAGTCAGGGCCACTGTCGCACTCTGCCTCTGCGAGACACCGCGATGGACACAGGGAGGAGGGCAGGAAGGCTTCTCATTTAGCATTGCGGATTATGTTTTTCCTTAAAACACCAAATCTCACTGTTTCGTTCCTCTTTGCGCTTCTGCGCGGTAACCTCAGTTTGTGACATCACGGTCCATTTTTGTGGAGACGAGCATGATGTCGTAGAGAAAGGCACTGATGTCACAGGCTCCTTAGTACACTAAAGTACAGGCATTTCCACAAACTCAGAATAGCCCTAGTGTCGAGTTCTGGAAATGGGAGGTTTCGTTTTCGTTACCAATTTCCCATTTCAATACTGGCATCACTGGAAGGGTGGGCGGAAGAACACATGCAAGTTGGGGGACAGAAGGGAGGCCAGGGCGCCTCGAGGAAGCTGTGTTTCCCTGGGGAGAGCTGCCCGCCCCGCGCGGCTCCGGGAGGTTTAGCCGGGCGCGAGGAACGCTCAGCACAGAGCTGCGGCCCCACGAGGCCCGCGGCGCTGGGTGGCCTCTTCACAGGTCCAGCTCAGTCTGCGTTTGTGGACAGAGGGCAGGGAGGGCAGGGATGGAGGGTACAGGGGTGCAAGGGGGATGGAGTAAATCTGCAGCCTGGCGAGGGTTGGCTGGCGTAACTAGCGTTCCTAGCGGGGAGAGCGGAGAGGCCGCTTGCCCCAGAGAGAGGTCTGTGGTGGAGGGAAGCGAGAGCTCCCTCGGCTGAGGAGGTGTTACGGGAGGAGGTGAAGCAAGAGCTGCTTGGAGGCCGCCCGGCGCCCAGGCCGCCCACGGGCGTTAGTAGTTGCAGTGACGCTGGCAGGGCTGGTGGACGAAGCTGCTGCCATGCTGCTTGGCGCGGCGCGAGGGCCGCTCGCGGGCCCGGTTCTGCCGCTGCAGGGCCTTCTGGCTGAGGCAGTGCTTCTCAGCCAGCTGCTTGGCGCGCTGCACCCGCCGGGCCTGGCTGACCTTCTCGAGGATTGCGGCCTTCACCGCGAGGGACGCGCTGTGGTGCGGCACGTGGCGCTCCAGTCGCGGCTCCGGCACCTCCCTGCAGGGATACAGCAAGAGACCGGCCTGTTAGCTCCCACTCCACTCCTGCCGCAAGTGCTGCCCTGGTGTCTTCAGGGGCCATTGAGGCCGTGGGGCCTGGCTCCCATCCAGCCCGTGACACTAGCCTTGCCTGCGGTGCTCACACTGTGCCCCCCAGGATGGACCCGAACTAACACAAGGTCCATGGGAAAACTCTCCAATGCCAAGACGAACCTATCAGCTTAAAATGGTGACAGGACCCAAGTCGACATCGCTCCAGCAGATGGCACTTGCCTGTTGAGCACATGGCAAGGCCAAAGCTAGGAAGATGCTAAGCTGGTTCCTTCTTCTCCTCCATGTTCAGATCACACCAAATCATGACAATATCATTTACGCCTTTTGCTTGCACACAGGTCCCAGATTAGAAGCCCTGCTTCCAAAGGACCTTGAACCATTGAAATCTCAGCCTGCAGCAATCTCTGTGATGATGGACCCTACAGAGAGCAGCATGGCTCTTCAGAGACCTGCAGGACATCCACTTGCTATAAAGAAGTGAGACCATCCCCAAAGACCAACTTCCTGCCATCCCAATTTGAGCAACTTCCTGCCACTCCTGTCATGGGCTTCTCATTTCCATCCTGCTTGTAACCAATTTTGCTTGCGTGTTTCTAGCTCTCTTTGGGTCCCTCTTTTCACCTTCCAACACTGGGGTTCCTCAGTGAGGATCAGATTGTGGCCCTAAAGAAGATGTTGGAGATGGAAGCTCAGAGGGGAGACAGCATTGGGCAGTGTCCCTTGGCCTTAGGCAGACTTGCCCCCCACATTCTGTTCTGAGCGGGGCTCAACAAGCCAAGTTAACAACATAGTGTCGTGACAGCAGCGTGTAACAAGCTGCAGTGTGGCGGAGATGCTTCGTCCCTGCCGGTGAAGGGCTCACGTGGAGCGGTGGCGGGAGGACTAGGGGACCCTGGGGCATGTCAGGGTGCTATGAGCAGTTCGGCTGCAGAGGCAAGGCTGAGTGGGCAGCGCCGGGGCTCTGCTGGGTGGCATGAGGCACCAGCAGCAGAGGGCACCCACAAGGAGAGGAGACCGCAACGAGGATGGGGAGTAGGGAAGGAGGACGAGGGCCTCTATCCCTCCCAGCTCCTGAGGAGCGCAGTGGCAGACGGCAATCTCCCTTGGTCAGCAATGGCAGGAGAAGGACATCTGGCCACCTGGGATGCTGCGGGACCAGCCTCTCCAAGGGCGGGAGGCCCCGGTGGCTGCCCACCAAGGTGCAGCAGCGCCATGGGGGGAAGGCGGCAGAGCCTGTGGCACCCCTGCAATCAGGAGGGGGCCCAGCATGGCCAGGGGTCGTTCTGCTCGGCTGAGTGTTTGGTTTGCTCTCCTTGCGCCCTGCTCGTGCAAAGCCCTGTGGTTAAGCCTGGCGCGGCAGGCTGGCAGCCCCATGTCCTCCCCAGAGTCCCGCAGCGGGATGCGAGGGGCTGCCGTGGCTGCTGGCTTGGCGCTCCCTGCCTCACATCTCTGCCCCTCGCGGCCACCGGCAGCCCCAGACACCCACCTCGTACCATCTCCGTGGGCTCTTGGAGGACATGGGTGCTGCTCCGGCCCTACCCATGAGTATCCACTCACCCTTCACTGATCTCCTCGGGGCTGTCCCTGTCCACCACGAGGCTGTTGCTGGTGACATAGACGGACATGCTAGGGTGCTCGATGAGGAGATCCTCCATGGGGTTGCTCTCCATGCTGTCGAGGCCAGGGCCTTCTGCAGTAAAACAGGGGGGAGGGGTGACAAACCAACTCTCGTCCATCAAGCAGGGGACGGGCGGGGAGGGCACGGGCCGGCCGACACCGTCACGGAGCGAGTCCGCTCCTGGCCGGAGGGGGAGGCACAACTATCTACTGGGAGCCGAGACGGCCGGGGGTGGCGCGGGAGGTGGAAGCCATGCAGAGGAGGGCAGGGAGGAGCACGGAGCAAGGACACACACACATTCGATATACAGTGGGGAGGGAGAGGGAAGGGGGGAGAAAAAGGGGGCATTATTAGTACAAAAGGCACCCCAACAGCATCAATATTATCATTATAAATTGTCTAGGTACTAGACTGGCTACGGCCTAGTACACGGGAACTCTTGCTGAGGAATAAACCACCATGCAGAGCAAAACCACCACCAGAGTACAGCAAGGCCACGCCAGAGTCCCTGGCGCTCGGGCTGGCGGCTCGGCACCCAGGACGGCAGCAATGTCTGTGCCTTCCCCATCACCATCGGGCTCCTGGGCAGTCTCCTTCCTCGGAGAAACTCAAAACCCGCCTGGACATGAACCCGTGCAAGGGGCTCTATGTGACCCCACTTGAGCAGGGGGTTGGACTTGCCCATCTCCAGAGACCCCTTCCCACCCCAGCCCTTCTCTCAGGGTGGGAACGGCGCCCGCCGGGGCAGCTGCTCCGAGCCCTCCAAAGCCGTGTCACCACCGTGGGCAAGAGGCCCAGCTGGGCCCTTCCCATGCAGGCAATGCCCTCGGGGTGGCACAGAGGCCGGCTGGGCTTCCAGGGACCCTTTGCACTGAAGGTTGCTGGACCAGTTTCTCACCAGGCCTGAGCTCCGGTGATGCTATGGGACTGAGAGGGACTCACACAGACAGAAAGAGTAGGATGCCCTTTGCTGAAATGTTAACCAAGAGGAGCATGCAAATATTTTTGGTTAAGTGGTTTAACCAAAAACTTGGGGAGAGCACCAGGAAAACAACTTTTTTTTTTTCCCCTTCACAAAAGGAGAAGGAACATGGGCTAGAAGTTCACATTGCTTTTTTTTTTTCTGTGAACTTACTTGATTTGAACCCTGCCTTTCAAAAAGAACCACCACCAAATTACTAAGTGAATCTTTGCTTGCAAATACAAACACTTCATTCTTGCAAACGCTGAAACCAACCACTGAGACAAAAAAAAAAAAAAAATTTTTTTTTTCCTGGAAGAAACCCTTTCTTCTCAGTGCATAAATTGTTCACCAAAGTTGTCACCATGCCTTTGACTTCAGTCCACAGGAGGCAGGTTCTCAGCTGGGGCGCTGTGCAAACTAACGGCACGCATCGCGTCCAAACTCCAGCTTTTATTTTCCTTGCCCTCTTCACCTCCGCTTGGCAAGGCAGTTGGCCTGGCGCTTTTGTGAGCCTCCCATGCCGGATTTTCCTGGCTGGGTCATAGGCAGGGAGGCTGCTCTGAGCAGTTTTTTTTTGGTGCGCGCCCAGGTTAAGCAGCGCGTGCTGGGGCGCTCGACATGGGGGAGTTAGCGGGACCCAATCTAAAACAGGGGTGGCCTTGGTGCAATATCTCTATGAACATGCGTGACCTCCCCCTGCTGGAGAGGCTGCAAAAGAAACCTGAGATTAACGAGTTCTTGCAGTGCCCAAACAGGCAGCAAGAAATATGGACGTGTTAAGCAAGGGGCAGACACCCGTCGTGACACGGATGTCAGCAGCTCGTTCTGCAGACGATTCCCCAGCCCACGGCTTGGGGCAGGCCACAAATAGCTTTGCGAACAGGAGAACGTCTTTCTTCAGGTCAGTGGATATCAGGCTATTAATAGTTGTTGACATGCCAGGCTGGAGATTATTTGTCAGCTTGGAGACGGGCAGGTGGGGGTCAGTGTTTGCCCCTATTCCTGAGGTTTGGCAGTGCTCCCCACACATGTGGGGCTGAGTGTGTAGAGCAGGCAGGCTGGGGACCGAGCCCCTGCCCCAGCCACGTGTGTCTGTCTGTGCCGACCCCTCACGGAGGTGCTTTTTAATGTCACAAGGAATGTTTCTGGATTCCCAAATTCCTGGGTGACTTGCAGCAGGGAAGCACACGGAAATGCTCCTTACTGGCCCCAGGAGCCTGGCCATGCAAAGCCATGCCTGGCACCTACAGTTTCTCTCCCTGTTTCTGGGACAAACTTCACTAACTTCACTTCATTGTCGCCCACCTCTTCCAAGGGGGCTCCTGAGTGCCGGGTGAAGCCAGACAAGCAGCAGTGGAGCACGAAGAGGTATTTGAAACACTCCCAAGAGACCTGGTTGGTTCAGGTGCTCTTCGCAACATGTGTGTCAAAGACCCGGCTGCTGTTGAACTTATTAGGAAGCTCGTTGGGCTGCTTCGCTGCTGGGCGCGAGCCAGGCTGCACCATGTTCGCTTGCCATCGTGGCTCTAAGTTGAAGGATGGAGCTGCAGCCAACAGGCTTCGCTTTTGAAGTGCTTTGCATAACTGCAGGCTCAGGAAGAGGGCTGAAATCAAACCAAGCCCTCGGCGCTCGGGGGAAACACAGCAGCGGTGCCAGCAAGGGTTAGCCGTGGGGTGCCAGGCCCCACACAGGCCCACTGCTGAAAGTTGGCCCTGCTCCAAGGGCCTGGCTAGCCGATCAGACAAGAGACACGGATTAAAAACGGAGCCTTTTGTACAAAAATCAGACCAAGATCCCCACAGAGTCGTCTGCATGTCCCTGACCAAGGGGATTCAGGACCTATTCCAGTATTTCTCCATCTTGGAAAACATACGGCTCGTTTCAGCGTGGTTTGGACATGCTGCAGATGTTGCCAGTGGCAGGAGCCCAGAAGCCCATTGGCCCTAGCACAGAGCAGCTGCACGCAGGGTACTCCAGGGACCTCCTTGCAACCAGCTCTCGCTCATGGCACTGTGCTGACCCACCCAAGAGAGACAGTCACCGGAGTCTGAGGAACACACCATGGGCACCTGCTGCCCGGGCCACCCTTCTGCTTCCATCAGGCTTCCACAGTGCTCCAGGCAGACATATGGGGCATCCCTGTCCATGTTTCCCCACCCCAGGCTTTGTCCAGCTCAGGGCATGGGGAAAGAAACTAATGAGCGCTCACATCCCAACCAATCCCTCCTGCTAGACCTGTTAGCAGTCTCCTGGGTTGGGGCACTGTGGCCAACAAGAGTCTGTAAAAAGCAACTTTGGATGCTGAGAAGCAGAAATCCAGGGGCTGGGGCTGGAGCACACACAGTCTTGTTTGTGTAAATTTACTGCTTAATTTGCAAGCAAAAGGTCATAAAATTATCACTGCATATGGTTGAGTCATCAACCTTACAATAGGCAAAGGCCTACACTGTCTTAATGGGGATTATGAAGCCCTCTTCCGCACAAGAGTTTGACTTCCCTGACTGCTCTCAGACGGGGCTCTGGATGATCTCAGCTGTCCCTGAGAACAGGTAGCCCCAGAGGACAAGGGTTTCCTCTAGATATGCCGCCCCTGCTCCAAACTATATCTGAATGCTCCTGGCAAAGGCCCTAGGTATGATTTGTGCAGATAAAGCCTTTCGAAAGAGCTTTCCAAGCCTAGATTTGCTCTCCTGGCTGGCCCCAGATGACCCAAACTCGGATCGCTGCTGCTCAGGGCGGCCGCAGAGCTGCACAGGCTCCGGCAGGAGAGCCCAAGGCCGTGGCTCCGAGGGAGCCCAGCGCCAGGGAGGGCAGGATGTGCAGCCGGCACTGCGCCTGCTGCACCGCGCAGCGCCCCGAGCCCGGGCCGGGCAGCCCTGCAGCGCAGCGCCCGCGATGCCAGCCATGATCGGGCCGCCCTGACCCAGCGTGCGGACAAAGAGCCGCGAGGGCTGGCGTCTCTCCAGGTCCCCCAGCAGGCAGGAAAGAACCAGAAAGCGTGGGTGAACTCCCTGCTCTCTGAGACTTACGGGTTAAATGGACAGGAATAAGCTCAGGGAGCTGCAACTGCTCCGTGGGGCAGCTCCTTGGATCTGGTCCATAATCCACAAACAGGCTCCTCTAAGTGCTAAGGAATTTGTGCCTGGCTGAAGCTCGGTTGCCTTTGATTGCAGCCGCATGGAGAGAGCTACAGGGCATTTAATCCCCGCTGCACAAGGTTTTGAACAGCTTGGAGGAACACTTTCCTCAGCCATTCAGAAGATGCTAATGAAAAGGTCCCGCACAGGCAAGGGGCAGCGCTGCTGGGGGAAGGTCCCGTCCTGGGGCCAAGCACAGCTTGACAGTGCCTCAAAGGTGGAAAATTAGGCCTGTCCCCTCCTGCTGGGTCCCACCAGACCTTCTCCCTCACTGTCCTGTCCAGCGTGGCCTTTTAAGAGCTGGGCTGGTGGGACACAGTCTGTTCATCTGAGGCTTGGTGGCCTTTTCTGTGAGTACCATCCCCCGAGGCTGCTTGGAGATAGCACTGGAGCAAGGGGGGATACTGCAGCCTCCGAGGGGCTGGGTGAAAGTGCCTGGAGGCTCCCAGGGTGACAAACAGCATCCATGGCCCAGCAAGTGGCTGCTCTTACTCATTGTCTCCCAAGTTGGGAATCGCTGCTAGGAGAACGTAAAAAGGAAGAGGGGCCACTTGGGGTCCTTGCGATGACAATAGAGACGCCTGCGCCCGGCCCAGGCTGCGAGTCGTGAGTACAGGCCAAGGTGAGGGGAAGGGAGGGGTGAAGGGCAGAGCTGACCACACGTCGCAGAAGCTCTGCTGGAGGTTGCTGCAAGGTCTGATGTCATCTGAAGGGATCTGGCCAACTCTGGAGAAACGAAATGTACCACAGGCTTTGTGAACCCAATCCCCCAGGCTTTTCTCACCTGCAAGATCAATTATGAGCCATCCATCCTCCTCCTCCTCCTGAGAGACAAAGGGCTTGGGCTCCTCCAGGCCCTCTGGCGCACTGCTGTCACTGAAGAAGAGGCTGGTGAAACGTTGGAACATGGTTGAGGAATGGTGTGACGGGAGGAAGGAAGAAGAAAGCTGCTGCAGAGAGGTGACCTGAAGCGAGGGGACAGGCGTTGCAGGAAGGACAGTGGCCCCTTGGACCTCTGTCCTGGTGGAGGAGCCCTTTGCAGGCTCAGGAGATGCTTCACAGCTAGCGAAATTCCAGCTGAGTTCAGTGATGGATAGTGCAATTATGAGGTTCTTCACTTGGCTTCAGTGCAAAGGCCTGGAAGAAAAAGGAGAATTTCATTGAGACTCCCGGGCAAGGTCACTGCTCCCGCGCCCCACAGTGCAGCTGGCTGGAGGGGAGGCCAGAGCGAGGCCTCCAGCCATGCATTTTGCAGAGGGCATGATAGAGCGTGTCGGAAAGCAGAGCCGTGAGGGGCTCTTCCTGCACCAAGCCCACACGGTGGCCTGAGGACACCTCTGTCCCCAGCCTGCGGCTCCTCAGCCGTGTCAGACAACAGAACAAGCACCAGCGCAGCGCCAACCCCATCTGCACCAGCCAACATGCAGGGCACGTGAGAAGAGCAGATGTGAGGGAGGACGGGTTTTGGTCCCAGGTTGATCCATCTTTTCTGGCCAGCCTTGGAAAAGCCACTGCTCTTCCCTGCTCGGTCCTGGCAAGACACTGACATTTGGGAAACATGTTCTGCTGTGAAAAGCTGCCTTTGCCACTGTAACGAGGAGCTAGTGTTGACAAAGGGTAGGGACTGGCCAGTCACCCAGTGTGCCAGCACTTGGTGGCACCAGCTGCAGCCAGGGAAGTTTCTGGGGCAACTTCCTTAAAAAAAGAGTATCTCTGCTTCCCGGCAGACCATCCCTTTCTGCCAAGGACGCTGCAGTCCCCATTGCCCACCTGCCTCAGGATAACTCCTCTGCACTCAGGAGCTGATGCTGTGTGAGGGGGCTGATCAGCCACCCCTCAAACTTTGCAGGCTGCTCCCTGCCCTTGCGAACAGATTTCCCTGGGGAAGGCTGGTAAGCCAGGGAATCACAGACGGAGCCAAGCAGAGAGCCCAAGGCAGGCTTGGAGCAGTTTCCCCTCGTGCAAATCTTGACCTGTGTGGTGTCAGCTCCTGTGTAGCTACACAGGAACTAAATCTGGCTTGGGGTATGAAACTTTTGTGAAAGGGTAGGGGAAAGGCTGTGACGATGCCTTTGCATCTGAGGAGTGATGTGAGTTTACGTGGTGTGAACTCTCTGGAGTCAGCGTGATTGCTGCAGTGCAAGAGGGGCTGGTCTGTAACATTTACCACCTAGCAAGATGGCAAAGCAGCCCATGGAACAGGGTGGGCTTCAGGAATCCCAGGCCCCGACACCAGGGAAAACTGCTGCAGAAATAAATACTTTCTCTTGGATGAGGAGGATCACGGTAGGGATGACTTAAGCAAATTGGATGTGCTTAAGTCTGTGGGCCCTGAGGAGTCGCCGATACCCCATGGGCTGTGCTGCCATTCAGAGGGACCTGGTGAGGCTGGAGAGCTGGGCAGAGAGGAACCTCATGCAGCTCAACAAGGGCAAGTGCAGGGCCCTGCACCTGGGGAGGAAGAACCCCCGGCACCAGGACAGGCTGGGGACTGACCTGCTGGAGAGCAGCTCTGCAGAGGACATAGAGGTCCTGGCAGACAAGCTGACCATGAGGCAGGAATGTGTCCTTGTGGCCAAGAAGGCCCGTGGTACCCGGGCTGCCGTAGGAAGAGCAGCAGGCTGTGAGAGCTGGTCCTGCTCTGCTCAGCCCTGGTGAGGCCGCACCACACATACAGCTATGGACTGCTCAGTACAAAAGATGTGGAGCTTCTGGAGCAACCACCAAAGGGATTAGGAGACTGGAGCATCTCTCTTACGAGAAAAGGCTGAGAAGGCCGAGGCTGTTCAGCCTGCAGAAGAGAACACTCGGGGGACCTTAGCAATGTGTGTAAGTGCCTGAGGTGAAGGTGGTGAAGTGTCATCAAGAGGATGGGGCCAAACAGTGACCTAATGACAAGACAAGAGGTAATAGGCACAAGCCAAAACACGGGAAGTTCCACCTGAACACGAGGAAAAACTCTTCTACCATGAAGGTGGCTGAGTGTTGGAATAGGTTATGCAGAGAGGTTGTGGAGGTATTCAGAAGCCCTTTGGACATGATCCTAGACAGTCTGCTCTAGGTGACCCTGCTTGAGCAGGGTTTTGAGCACATTAATCTCCAGAGGTCCCTCAACCACCCTGTGATTCTCTGATCCCTCCTGCTGGCCAGTGAGAAAGCACAGGCACTTGGCTTGCCAATGGTTTTGTTTATAACATAGGCCTGCTAGGAATGGACTGCAAGTGTTCCACATGGCCCCTTGGGCACCATGGCACTCATGCTCCATGGCACGTCACTGCGGGGAGAGGGTGACCAAGACACTTCCCTTCTGGGGTGGCTTCAGCTCCGTGTCCGGTACCAGCACAAGAGAAGGGAGCCAGGAGGGGAGCGACACCCACCCAGAGCCACAGCCTTCACCTGGTTCCCATTCTGCTGGAAACTTGTCTGCGCTGGTCACTGCTTCAGCTTGCCTTCATTATTAATTATTACTGTCACTTGTTAACTGTTGTGTGCATTTGCAGGGTCTCGCTGCTGTCCCCCAATGCCACCAGCATCAGCGCACACGAGGGACAGGGCGGCGGGGGCCAGCCCCGCCAGCAGCAGAACAGCTCCCGGCAGGATGGGAAGCACCTTCTCCCAGTCGCGCTGGCGGGACACGCTTGCCAGCAACGGGGCCGCTCTTTGTTATTTACACTTTGTTGCTGCTGTAGTTTTATTGCTGGGGAAACAAAGTCCTTGCAGCTTAGGGGGAGGTCAGGACTCCATTTTTATTAATGTCCCTAAAGCTCTTGGCGAGCTGCAGACAGATGGCAGACACAAGGTGCAGGGTATCATTAGCAAGGAGAAAATGTATTTGCTTGAGCGACATAAAAGGGCATTAAAATGCCATCAAGAGCTAGACAGAGGGAAAGGCAAAGCACCTCACTGAGACAGCTGGGTGCCTTGCCCTGCTTGGCACAGAGCCACCAACATACCATATTTAGAGGGCAACCCCTGGTTTATGGCTCTGTAAACCTCCAAAGGAAGGTGCGACAGAGCCTGCAAGCAGCTCTGCAGCCGGAATCCATGGAGTCCCTGGCTGAGGCCACAACGGCACCAGGACTGGGAATTCGCCTCGGTCCTCCCAGGAGAGGGGAGAGGCAGGGAAGGGCTGCTCAGAGGCCTGTCCCTGGGCAGGAGGGGGGCTCTGGCTCTCACCGCGGGGCTTTGGCCTCTTCCCAGGCCACGGAGCATCCTGCCCGCGGCAGCACCAGGGCCTGCAGGGATGGCAGGAACCCCGGGCTGCTGGCAGAGCTGCGGCAGAACCCCAGAGCTCTGCACAGGCACCAAAACAGGTGAGGACTGCTGACAGGCCACAACGTTCAATTCAGGGCAAGAATCCCCCTTTGTTTAGCCTGGATTTTTTTTTTTTTTTAAATAACAGTAACATAAAGCAAAGACACAAGAAGCCCATTAAGGTGAAGCGGGCAGCTAACTCCCAGAGCTGTCATTACACCCCAGGAAGTTCCCTCACCAGCCTTAGGGTTAGAAGCAGAGAGCCAAGATCCCAAAGGGACATTTTGCCCTCCTGCAGCCACGGCTCTGGGACCAGCTCCTGGCGTTCCCTGAGCTTTGGGGACCTCCGAACCCACCTAAGAGGCTGCTCAGAGCCAACACGTGCAGGAAGGAGGCTCTGGGCACCTCCGCATGGGCAGCAGTACCGCACTGGGACACAGGCCTGCCTGGCCCAGTGTCCCCAGAGGAGGTGCTTTGCTGAGGGGCCCTGCAGCTGACCCTGCCATCCCCTGCTGTCCATGCAGACACAGCTAGGGGGAAAAGGGCCAGATAGGAGAGAATCTCTCACCACGAGAGCACCTGCACAGACTGGAGCTCCTGGGGTGGTTGCTCCATCCTAGCGCGCTCTCAGTGAGGGCCATAATTGTTTTACAACCCACTCATTTAACTAAGACCTTCCTCCCACTGCTCATGAACTGGCAATGGCTGGTGCAGGGTGCCTCTTTCTCCTGGAGCATCAGGAGAGCCACAGAAGGGCTCTGGCCAGAGCACAAGGCAGTGCTGGGAGAGACGAGCTCTTCCAGAGCTCATCCAGTCCAGCCGCCTACTCTAGCAGTCGGAGCACAGGAGCCTGCCCAGAGCGGTTGGGTACGTCCCCACAGCCGCTGAACCCCTCTGGGCAGCCTGTTCCAGGGCTGCCACCCTCCCAGTAAAAGTGTTTTCCTCCTGTTCAGACAGAACTTCCCGTGTTTCAGCTGGTGCCTATTGCCTCTTGTCCTGTCACCAGGCACCCTTGGCCTCATCCTTTTGGTACCCTCCCTTAGATGCTGGTGCAGGCGGATAAGGTGCCTCTCCATCTTCTCTGGGCTGAACAGTCCAAGTCCTCTCAGCCTTCCCTCCTGTGAGGGGCTCCTGTCCCCGAATCCCCTCCTGGCCCCTCAGGGCTCCCTCCAGCAGTTCCATCTCCCACACAGGGGTGAGACCAGAGCTGGACACAGGACTTCAAAACCTCCTCCAGGACCCACAAGGTTCTCAGGCCAGAGAGGAGCTTTTCTTGGTGCATTTTAGCTTTGTGGGTGCAGAGGAGAGCCCCCAACAACTAACCCCTTGCTGAGCAGGCCCACAGCTCATTCATAAAGCAGCTCCATGGCAGACCAAGTAGGGCCTGCACAGCAGAGCGGCATCTTTGCTGCCACCCGAATCCAGCCTCTCCTGGACCGCAGGAGTTCACAAATTCTTTATCAACATCATGAGCTTGGGTACTTGCCCTGGCACGCTTATTTAGCCATTCTGGGATAATCATGTGTTTGGACTGCTCAGCTCACTTCTAGTTGCATTAGGACACACAATGCCTGCTCCACATAGCAAAAGAAAAATGAAATAAAATAAATCCAGGGGAACTTTCTCCCATGAGCCAGATGCCCTAGACATAAGGGGTCTCTGCTATCAGGGGATGCAGAACAGGGCGCT